CTAAACTAGTTAAGTCGATAGCTGCTCAATTTATCATTTATTGGGCAAATTTAGTGGAATTGAAACAGATTTCAAATTAAGTGAGAATTTAAATAAAATAAATTCATTCGTTTTTATTCAATTTACAAAAAGAAAGCTTGTCAGCAAAACGTATTGCCTTCCCAAAAACACTTGACATTTAACTGAGATAAAAAAAAATAAATTTCTTAGAAAGAAGCTTAAAAATTAAAGGAAAATAAAAGTTTGCAAAGTTGTCTTTTAACATTGCATTCGGGTAACATTTTTTTATAAGAGATTTTTCACAGAAAAAATAAAACTTCATAAGGCTATAAAAAGTTCCCAAAACTCTGTGTGAAATATTTAAATAAGTAATATAAAAACATGCTTCAAATTTTAAGTTTATAATGACATAAAAGATTGTAAACTTAAGATTACAAGTTTTTTTTATTTAATATATTAGAGTTATTGTTAAGAACTTGTTTTAAATTCTTTATAAATTTTCAGTTGAAATCTTTTCAAGTCAATATGAAAGAAATAATGGATTGGATTCATGTTATAAAACCATGTTATATGATATTTATGCACAATATATATACACAACATAAACGTATATAAAAATTGCATCAAATAAAAAAATGAATTTTGAGACCCATTAATTAAACAAGTTCCAATATATTCAATAAAAATTCCTTGAATAAATTTATTGTATTTTATTTCAAACACTAATTTATATATTCTCATCTTTTAATTTATAATAAATATTTCAACATTTTTATTAAAAAAAAAAATATTAAAATTTTTTTAATATATAATTTTTTCAAATTAAAAATTAAAATGTTTTTTTTTATATTATTTATTTTAAAAATAAAAAATATATATAGTTTTATTTATATATATTCTTTATTTTAATTAAACATTTTGGTGAAGAAAAAGTTTTAAAATTTTGTATTTAAAAAAAATGCTTATATATTTTTAAAAATTTAAATCATATATTTTACAATTAATTAATTAAAGAAATTAAAAAAGAATATTTTTATATTATAAATATAATATAATTTTAAATATTGAATATTGAATATCTCTCAATATGACTGAAAATGAAATTAAATTAAACCAAAAATAAATCGCTTTAAGCTCTAATGGAATTAACTGCAACTGCAGAGCCTACTTTCATGCAGTGAGCGGCAAAATATTGTAAGAAAAGCCACAGAAAAAATACACATACCCATATATATTTATAAATATATATATATTCATATATATGTAACGCACACAAAGAAGCAAAATAGCTCTCGTTGGCAACGCCTGACTTACAAATACCCCTTCCACAGTCGCAGTCAGAGACAAAGGCGGGTGGATTAAGTCGAACAAGCTGTAGACTTTATTGACTAGCCTCTCACAGCTGTTCAAGAATACTTATATATATATATATATATATATATATATATATATATATATATAGATATATATATACATATATTATAAATTTTTTATGTACATTTTCAACTATAATACCCGTTCTTTGCACCCACTTGCAATGGTAAAAAATATGTATAAAAAATAACATTCTGTACAATTTTGTGAAAACTGTCTGAAAAATGCGCGCATATATTTTTCAATGGTAAACCGATATGTTGCTGCGCCTGACAGCATGCAATAAAAGAAATACACACATACACGTACACACTGTGAAATACATAAAAGTGGGCGTGAACAAGGGGCGGCACAGTGGAGGCCTCCAAGTGCTCAAAACGCAGCACGCATTGAGCTTTGGCAAACCGCTGATGTGCAAACAATAAAGTTCAAGGATATACACACACACATGTGTTCATGTGTGTGTGTGTTTGTTAGTGTCATTTGTAATAGAGTTTGTTGCATACTTTGCGGTCGCCTAGCCCGTGGGTCAAGTTGCGCTCGTGTTGACTTTGGCAGCCCAGTTAATAGCACACACAATCACACACACACATGCTGTTTGCTGTTTGTTGAGTTTTAATTATGCTAATGCAAAATGCAAGCACACACGCTCACTAACACACACACACACGAACACGCTAGCTGCAGGTGTTGTGCCTTGAGGGCTTGCAAAAGTTGTTTGACTTTTGTGCGGCTTCTTTTGGCCTTTTGGGCCAAAGCGTTTTTCGGGGTCCATTTTTAGGTCAAGCTTTGCCATCATTTGCCCAGACAATACACCTCGAGCACTAAATTAATTGGTACACTGACACGCCCCTCTATTCAGGCACACACACGCACACACATAACTGGGCATAGCGCACGCTCGCTTTCCGATTGCTGTTGTCTTTAATTAAAAATTCAAATTGTTTGGCATGCAACTAAAAGTAGTTAGTTGGCTCCTCCTCTCGCTGCCACTTTATTGCTATCTCACACACACTTTTTCATGCCCCATGTGGCAGTCAGCTGCAGCATACTTGTGCGAGTATTTAATTACATTTACTCTTTGAAAGCGCCAGCCGAGCAATGAGCACAGAGTCACGGAGACACAGAGACTCAGAGCAAGCTTCACCCGCTGTCTGATAATTGTTTAAGCACACAATTCTAATTAGTCTTGGATTAATGTGGAGTGCAGCTGATTGTTGAGCACTCGATGGCTAAGGGAGAGCCACTCAACTGCCACAACAACAAAGACAACAAGTCGCATTCGCTTTACTCTTTAATATGAACTGAAGAGTAATAAGAAATTGCTTCAGCTGCTTTTTCACTAATCAGACTATATTGGAACATTTATTGCAACACTAATTATTATTCAATTATAATTATTTTCAATGAGATTATTTATTTAATAATTAAAATGCTAATAACATTTAAGTTCAATATATTAAAAAATAAATACTGATAAAAGAACAATTTAATATATTTTAAGACAGCTCAAAAAATTATCTTAAAAATATAATAGTAATAAAATAATAATTATAATGCAAATATTAATTTAAAAATAAATATAAACAATAAAAGAAGTCTTATCTTTTATACAAGTAAATCAGTAATTAAGCGTAATTTGCTACAGAAGCTAATCAAATATTTTATTATTTATGGCAATGCTAATTAAGAATTTGTCATGTTTATTTATATCAAAATATTTTAAATGAAATTGTGTAAGATAAATGCAAATATTCATAACATTTATTTACGAATTAATATAAAAATTGGAAAAAAATATAGAAGTAAAAAAATAATAATAATTAAAGAATTTTAATATATTTAACAAAAACTTTAAAATACAAAAAAATGAATAATAAATAGACAAATAAAAAAACGTTAATAATAATAATAATAATAAAAATAAATAACAATAATAACAAAGAAATTCTTTAGTATTTAACAAGTTCTTAAATAGGCCAAATTAAAGACATAATAATATTTACAGTAAATTACTAATACTAAACATTTGTTCTAAATAATAATATTCGTAATAGTAAAATTAATTACAAAATGTATAAAACTCTAATATGCAATATATAGTAATAATAGCTTTGAATTAATTAATTATATTTAATTAATTATATTTAATAATTAATTATATTTAATCACCTTTGATTTATATTCATAAAAAATAATAATAAAAAACATAAATTATATAGAGACTTTTCACGAGCAATTGGACTTTAAAAATAATCTCTTAATAAGTATAAAATTCATTTAGAGAAAAAATAATAATATATTTTGCAAATATGTCTATTAAGCTTTTTAATTCCATCAATAAACCCTTTTTGTGTTTTATTTATAAATTCATATATTTTGATTTTATATAAATAAGGCAAATTTTCATTTATAAATTTTTATACTTATTATAAAGCTAAATAATTTGAAATTGAATCGTGTATAATTAATGTGAGTGAGGTTAAATATTTACAAGGTTCTCAATATTTATAATTGACTTAAATACATAAAAATAGAAAAAATGTGACTTTTATATATATTTCACTTAATTCACATTGATTTTACTGCAAAATGTTCAAGCTTTAATATGACTTAGAAAACTTCAACATGAATACAAAAACTTAATGTAAAAAAATGAAAAATGAGAGCTTAATTCATAAAGGAATTTTTGAAAATATAAAAGAATTTATGTAACAAAAACATATATATACACAATATCATTTCAGTTCTATATTACTTTCACATAATATATATTAAATTTCCACTTTCCAAAAGACACAAAAGTTAAGACGTTTTGTCCATTTATCACCTCTTCTTCTATTGCTCGTCTATCTTCCCTTCTATTGTATCTTATATAAAAGTAATATAAGACGTGCTCTTAAATAAATATTATACGACTGCGATTACTTATGAGAGTCACAAATAGATGGGTAACAATAAAGACTTGGTTAGCTTAAGACACTGAGAGGTGTCCCGTGGACAGCAATTAATGAAGGGTCACTTATTGAATGGACCAAAGACAAAGGTGCTAAATCACGATGACAAATGATAAATGGAGAATTATGTAATTATGGCCAGCTTCAGTGATAAATTTCAGCATTATTTAACAGGAATTACAAGTGTCATGAAATGCAAAAAATAATTATTATTCATATTATGCTATGGAAGACCAAGCCAACATGTAATATTTTGAATTTAGTTTAAAGCATTTTCTCTCTCCATTTAACACAAAAAACTGTTAAACTGGGCAAAAGAACATCAGAGAAATTGTCCTCAAACAGCATAAAATTTAATTGAGTTCGGAAATCTAATAAAAATTGATGGAAAAAGTCGAATCGAATTATTAAACAAGTACTAAAAACAAATGTTCTATATGTAACTCACAGTCTTCGTTTTCCAAAATATATCTAGTTGATTTTTTAATTGAAAACTAAATTGAATTGCATTTATCTTGAGCTGAGTGTCAAATTCTTTTCAGGCTCTATGAGTGGTTGACTTATCACAAATCACAAATCTGTGCTGCACCATTTAGGCAAACGAGGCGCAACTTCATTGAAAGAGATTCCCAAAGCGACCGCAAAACCAAAAAAAGAAACAACACCTACCTACAGCACGTACGACGGGGCGTATGTGCGATGCATGGGTCTTGGCCCGGGGCTAGGTCACAGTCAGTGCTATAAAGCAGCGCGCGATAAGCAAAACAAAAACGGTTACAATTTAAAGCCGCACTATTTGCATATGTAATTCTTTTCTTCTTTTTTATTATTTTTTTTTTTAATTTGGAGGCTGCATAGCCTCACAAACACACACTCACACTCGGCACACACTGTTAATTGGAAATGAAAATCTCGTGAAAAATCACGTTAAAATTTCGCGCTTTGGCGCAGAGCAGTGCGATAAATAGGAAATCGCACGTAACTTTTGTTAACCGAACGCGTTGGCAGACACGGGACAACTGAAAGGACAGCACAACTGATGCTGTGCTGCGGCTGGTGCTGCTGGTGCTAGTCCTGCTGCTGCCGTTATGCTGAGCCAGGCGCAACAGTATTAAGAGCCGCTATTAGACAGGTCTGTTACGCAGCCGAGACTCGCCAACGTCTAGCCGACTTCAGCTTCGTATCAACTGTCAGCTGTACGCTTCGGCTGCTTGTGGATGCTGTGCGAGACGCTCTCTCGCTCTCACACATTTTGCAGATACAGCGCTGTGAATGAGTTCCACATGTGGGACACGCCGGTATGGCTCATTCCTTACTCGTTCACTAGGTCACTCAACAGTGTTGTTTGCTGAGCAAGACTGTGTGTGGTGCGGTGTGGATGTGGATGTGTGTGTGTGTGTGTAGCCTCTTCACATTGTCAATGCCGCATATGCCGGGCCGGTTTTACGGATTACTCTTTAATACAATTCTTCTTTTTGTTGTTGTTTGTCATCTTCCTCTTCTTCTTCTTGCTAGGTTTTGGTTTTGGCTTTGACTACTAATAAAATAGAGCTCATTTGTGGACAAACTGTTTGCATACTTTTCGACTGCACCGTGCCTGCGGTCGCTCGACTTTAACTCCACGTTAAATGTCCACCACCCATGCCAGCGAGCTGATCGCATTACGCCCCTAAAGGTATACCACAATTGAGGCTTCAAATTAAATCAATATATTTATTGGTGTATCAAATTTGTTGACTTGCCTCCTTATGTATATATCTTTTCTTTGGTGTGCTCACATCCTGTTACGAAGAAGAGACAAATACAAATACGATTACAAATACAAAGCAGAAAACTATTCATACAGGTTAGGTATGACAACTATTAAATACCCTATGAAATGCATTTAGAGGAAATAGTAACTGCATATATAGAGATTTGCAATTAAGTCTACACACTTGTTTAAGTGAAGTAGGCATTGATTTAGAAGGAATATAAACTAATTTAAATTCTTAATTCATGTATATGAATATATATACAAAGTATATGCATATTTATATCTTATATTAATAATGATTCATTTTATTTACATAATTTCAAACAACTCTACTTTCAAGCGTTACATACCTGATGAGACACCCATCATAGCCCCTCTTGAGCATAAGTATCACAAATTCGCTGCGTTGACATTCGCATTCGAATTCATATATGAATTTGCCGCTTCAACTGGTCTACTTATACGTCTATGAACATCGTCTGATTACCATGCGTGCACAATAATAATGAAGATATTGTGCGCTTACATTTACTTTCATCTTAGATTTTGGGCGCACAGACACACACAAACACAACTAATCAATGATGATGACGTCTACAAATGGAACAAACCAAATTATTAGGTCAATATGCTTAAGTTGATATTAAATGGATTTCTAAGAGCAACACATAAATTTATTAAATATTATACATATATATATATATATATATATATATATATATATATATATATATATATATATATATATATATATATATATATATATATATATATATATATATATATACATATTTGTATAAATCAGGCAAATATCATCATTTATTTATATACAACAATTAATTTTAATTAATTTGATATTTTGGCATGTCGATTTTCGGCTATTATTAATTATGTGAGCTACAATTGAATATACGATATTTCATATTAGTTGATTTCCTAACTTAATAATTCATGCATATAAGTCAAGAATGTTTATTTTTAGTCTCAGTTGTTCAATGAAATTAACTTTAGGAATGTTTAGTTTATATATATATATACATATTTGTATAAATCAGGAAGATATCATCATTTATTTATATACAACAATTAATTTTAATTAATTTTGATATTTTGGCATGTCGATTTTCGGCTATTATTAATTAACTCTATGTGAGCTACAATTGAATATATGATATTTCATATTAGTTGATTTCCTAACTTAATAATTCATGCATATAAGTCAAGAATGTTTATAACTTTAGGAATGTTTAGTTTCTATTGCTCTTTGATTCATTACTTTATTTTATACACGAGCAATGTTTTCGATATTCCTTTCAAGTTTTCATATACAAATAAAATCCAATAAATATTCCTAACACTATGGCAAAACTTTCCTTTCATTTCTCATTAATTTTATAATAATAATAAATGTAATTTTATTTTATTTAATAAAAAAAAACTTATTCACTTGAGCAAACAAATATGGCTCAAACTAAAAAAATTCTCTGAGCAAAAAACTCATAAACCAAAAGACATAAAAAAACTAGAAACAGGACGAGGTAACAGTAGACAAAGAAGAAGCAGAAAAAGTAAACAAAAACTATAGTAAAAAGCATTCAATTGTAAAATTTCTCTGCTGGGACAGACAATATGATTAGCTAACATGAAGTCAATGTGAAAGCGAATTACAAAACAGTATAGACCTCTTCAAAAAAAAGGTGGGGGTTGCAGCTCGGGCGAAAGGCTGTGAAAGACATTTACGAGCGTTTGAATTTGACAGATTTCTTTTATTAAAGCGACAGATACTGTGAAAGCGACGAAAGCAAGCAACCAAGCATATTAAATTCAATTGTATGCTAGTGTTTGTGTGGATGATTGTAGAAGTGTAGGCGTGTGTGTGTGTGAGCGTTGTGGAAAATTTAATAAAAACAAACCGCAATAGAGACGAGACGAGACGATGCGATATAAAGGGCAAATCACATAAAGACGTCATAAAGCACGTTGCGCACTTGAGCGCGTTTTACCACACTAACAAAAAAACATAAAGAAAACGCTGTGCAGCACTGCTAGGTCATCGAAAGGCGAACACAAAATGCGGGCAGCAGCATTTCAGTTTCATATCAATGATACGCAAACAAAAACAAAAAACAGAAACTTCAACAGAACATCGCAGTTCTCAACACTTTTGCATTATGCGCGGCAAATCAATCAACACTAACAAAAAAGAGACACAGAGAATGAGAGAGAGAGATAGCGAGAGAGAGAAAAGAGAGCGGCATAATGTGCCTAATTAATGAAATAATTAACTTGCAACTTTTACTTTTTGCTTAAGTGCTTTTCTAGCACTTTACTCATACCTCACACACGCACACATACACACGCACGTCCACACACCTACACTTATATGTATATACCCACGCAAACAATTAATTTCATCAACAACAATAGAGGAAAAACATAGAACGGAGTAAAGCAAATTAGGCAAAAACAAATTCGTAGCATCTTTCTTTCAAGGCACGAAGCAGCATAAACAATAAAGTCAAGGTCTCTCACTCAGGCAGTGTAGCCGAATCAAAGTTGCCTTCAGCTTAATTTAGCTTAGCACACAAAATGCTTTTGAAGTTTTACCAACACTTCTTTCTGTGCCCACAAAACTAAATAAGTTCAACTAAGAATTTAAGCAGCTGAGTAATATACTAAAAACAATGTTTTACAATAAAGATGGAACATACGTGCATATATTTTTTATCTGTTAGTTCTGTTATAAAATATAAGCGTTTAAAAAAAAACTTTTTCAAATTGCACTATTTTAAATAGCCTTCAAATAATATTCTTATTTTGGAAACAGTTTATTTCAACTGTCTTTTTGTAAAGATTTTTTAATAATTTTTCTATGCATATATATATATTTTCTTTAAATAAAAATACCACCGATTCTACTGTAATTATTAGAAAGAAAACAGAAACATAATACTTCAATTAAAAATAAATTAAATATCTAAGCTTCATCTTCACTCAATCGAGCTTAATCAATCATGTGCAGTGACCCATCAATAAAGTTAGAGCATACAAAAAGTCACAAGGAACTCATGGCAAAATCCCTTAGCACGCAAAAAGATGAAGAGCCTTAACAAAAGAGAATGAAAGAAGCAAAAGCTTGATGAGTGCGTCAGCATAAGCAAGCACACACACAGCAACAACAACAGCTACAAATAAATCAACAAATCAAAGAACTTAACTAAGGAAAAACCGAGCCTCGACACGACGCAGCCGAATACAATGAATTAACCACTGTATACATAGGTTAGTTAAAGGGAGTGAGACTAGAATTCAGAAAAAACATGTGTAGACGAGCAACACGCTAGGCAGTTATAGGAAGGCAAATAGCACAATGCCCAAATAGATAACGGTACACACGAAGTCAAAGCATAATAGAAATGAGCAAAGAAAACAATGGCAAGCAAAACAAAAGAAGCCCTTCAATGTAAATTGCGAGAAATGCTGCGCAAAATATTCTTATTTATTTGTAGCTATTTGCATGGCCGTAGCTGTGCATATAATTACCTATGTGTGTGTGTGTGTATATGAGCGATTGAAGCACAGGACGCAGACTGACAGCGCGGCATGAGTGATTAACAGTGCTGGAGACGCTGGTGATGACGAGAGAATTCCTCAACCCGTAGGAGCTAGAGAGATGGGCAAGAGGAAGTCAGTCAGCCAACCAGCTACGCAACCAGCCCCTGACAATTATGTGGATTAGCCGCAATGGTGGCTGACTGTAGGGCCTTAGTCAGCAATCCGGGAACTGGTTCAAAGTTTTGGCAGCGATTTGCGAAGCTTCGGCAATTAGTCAAAAGCAGTTAACACGCCCTTAATGCGTGCGCGCTGCGTCAAAAAGTGGGCCTGGCGCATAATTTATTGCCGAGCACTTAACAATCTAATATAACGTGTTAAATCTGATATAATATTTTATTTGTTTTAAAATAAACTTCAAATTAAAAAGTCAATGGTTTAAATGACAAAGATATTCTTTTATTGTTTATGAATGTAGATATGTTCCATAAGTTTATTTAACCACTAAGAAATGCTGTATTTGAATTATATTCTCTATAGATTATCGCCATGTTTGGATGCAGACGCCAAGACCATGCTCATTTGGCTCTCAATGATATACAGGACACCTATTCGATTTCAGTTAGCGAAGCTTGCTGATCATAACTGTGGTGAAGTTACACGCGTAATTACACCACAATAAATACTAATACCACTTATTCACCAGTGTATCTGTCTCTCTCACTCTGCTGTAGATGTCAACCATGGGTTGAAATCTTAAGTGTGGTCATCCTTCTCTTTTGAGTTTGAATTTTTGTTATTCGCCATATTTATATTTGTATGCTCATTTCTGAAAGAGAAAAGAGTATACTTGTTAGAAACATTGAATATATTTATAAAAACTCGCATATAAACAAATAGAATATATTTAAGCTCGAATCTGGCTTTTCAAATGAAAATCATAACTTAATTTAAGAATAAATTTTATACATATTAACTACAGATTGACAATAATTTTAGTCACAGGGTATTGCGTAGTCGAGTACACCCGACTTACTTATTACTTTGGCATATTGGCATAAAGAATAGGCTTTCAGTTCCAATTATAGAAATGTGTTTAAAATCAAAGGGGAAATTGGAATGGGAAACGGTTTTCCGATACCTTCTCCCCACACGTTATGTGAAAAGTGCATTGCATATCGCGAATTGCTCTCTTTGCCACTTTTGCATATCAATTAACCCACTTTGGTAGAGAGTCGAACCAATTTCCCTGCCGCGCCCCTCACAATCCTGCAAAAAAACCCAAGCTTCGCACAGAAAAATTTGTTGGGGGCAAAATGAAAAGAAAATCGTTAACCATTTGGTAGTCGCTGCTCATTGCCAATTAAGTTTAATTGGCCGGCAGGCTAAATGGCCTCAAGCCGAACTACTTCAAATATGCATACAAAGTGAGCGCTCAAAATCACAAAAATGCCTTGGCCCCCAGCCACTTTCGGCCGGGCCCAAAAATGGACCGATTTAACAATCAATTTACTTCACAATAATATTGCTTTTGTCGACCGACTCTGGCCTATCGACCCGGAGCATTTAGGTAAGGCGCGTTGCACATAAATTCACAAATGTTGCTGCCACATTTCGTTGCATATTCATGCAATTATTGAGTGCTGGCCGATGCGATTCTGATTCCGATTCCGATTGCATTTCCGTTTTTAATTGGACTGATTTAGATACCCCAAAAGCATGTTTTCTGGCTATGTTTGTGTTGCATATTTTTCGAGTGCTGCAAGTGTTGCAGTTGCCAATTGAAAACTGAAACGAATCCATTTGATTGTCACTGTTAGTAAATCAATTGACACACTCGCCTCAAATACACGAGCTTGGTCAAAATCATGTAGGACTATTAAAAGAAAATAGACCAAGAGGAAACATCAATTTGTATGCATTTTTTAAATATATCAGGTATATTTTTTAGAGCTACACAAATTTAAATTATAACTAAATAAAGAAATATATTTTTAGTGTCAATAAAGTAGACTTTGTTGGATAGAAAATCTGATGACATTAATGTTTATGATTTTGATCACATAACCGTCATTATTTTTGAAAAAATATGGCCCAAAAACACCGCAAAGCTATAAAAAATTAATTTTCTATTCCGACAAAAGCTGGAAGATTATCCTAACTCTAATTGTGCCAATGCTGCTTATTTACTTACCTGTTCAACCCAATATGGACTTAATCATTTCACTTCGTACGATTAAAGCATAAAACTATTATTTTGTTGAAAAATTTCAATTGGCAAGCATTGCCTTATTTTCTGTACGTAATAAAATGTCAAACCTAACTATATAAAAAGCATCTATTGACAAATAAATGGGTTGTCACATAAAGCAGTGTTGCCAACTCAAAGTTGTATAGCTATAAAAAAACTATCTTTACTAGAAACTACCACAAGCCGAATAATCTGTAATGTCTCTGTTCAAATGTGTACATAATTTCATCTGAAATTTACAGGTAAAAGTAATGAAATACATTGAATCGAAAAAAACCAAGGAAATCTTTACAAATTCATACATAAAGAACTGTTTTCAAATACTTCAAGAAGAAGTCCAAGTTACAAATTGGAGCTAAATCGACTCTAGACAGAAGTATAACTATATATCTTTTTAACAGTAAAAGTTTAAGTCAGTAGAAAGTCTTTGTTAATATTATTTTCAGCTTTTATTTTTCTAAATAAATACTCACCTGCTTTTATTAATCTAGGTTTTCTTTGAAGTATTTTCAAATAGAGGACTTTAAGTCGAGGCAAGTTCTCTAAATTCCCATTTAGTTGACTTAAGTCACGTTCGTATTCCGTGCAATTTGTGGGCTCTCTGCGGGTAGCACAGACACACACACACACACAAGTGTGCGCTTGTACAAACACACGTCACTTGCAACAAATAAAGCAAGGCGAGAGCAGACGACACACATTCTTACTTAATATAACAAAAATATATATGCACATGTATTTACCCGTTGCAAAAAATCAAATATCCGTGCATACATCATATGTTGGACAGCTGTATATATATATAGCCCGTACTATGCTGCGTATACGTACTGTCACGTGGTCACGTAGCGCATACGCACCGTTGCCAGTTGGCAGCTAGAAATTTAATGTTTGCATTTGACAACAGCTCGTTTTTAATAATAAAAAATACTGCAAAATACTTGAACGCACACACACATATACAGGAAACATATAAAAGTAAATACATAAATATATATATATATATATATATATATGTACATAAATATATATATAAATAGGATGATCACATTTGACACACAAGAGCGCTCAACTCCATTTTTCTCCAATTTGAATTTGAATTAAAAATTAAATAAGTACTTAACTAGAACAATAAACGCATTCTGTATCAGACCCAATAAAACGATACAGAAATCCACTGAGGAGATCTGTGCTTAATGCTAGATCTAAGAGCTTGCCGCCACGTTCAGGTGCTCGCCCTTGTGCAAGAGGCCATAAAAGATGGAGCTGGGTTGCTGTTGCAGCTGCCTTGGATTGCCGTCCTCGACAATTTCACCCTGCTCCAGCACTATAATGCGTTCATAATCCAGAATGGTGCTCAGGCGATGCTGTAAATAAAATAGGAATGAATGAAGAAGAAGAAACAATGAGCAAGCAGTGGCAAGGAGTGGTTCGAGTGGGAGACAACTCACGGCAATGGTTATAATTGTTCGACCCTGGAAGGCCTTGTCAGCCGCCTTGAGCAGCGCACGCTCTGTGCTGCTGTCCAATGTACTTGTTGCTTCATCCAGCACCAGGCAGACCGAGCCACGCAGTATGGCACGTGCCAGGCAGAGCAATTGGCGATGGCCGGCACTAAAGCTGACGCCGCCATCAGAGATTTCCGTGTCTGCAGGGCAGAAGGCACGAATCACAGGTAGCATCACCATGGCCAAGTGCATATGTATAAAATATAAAAACCGGATTTTAGTGCGTAATTAAAGTTGTATTTAATAAGCGTGACGTCATGGTCGACTGGCTAAGCACGCCCTTAAGCCCTAATGAGGCGTATTAAGAGAGAAGAACGTTCCACGGCAACGCTGTAAGTGTATGTAAATGTGTATGCGTGTATGTATGTGTGTGTAGATGGATATGTGTATTGTGTAGGTGCCTGAAGAGGCCGGCGCAGTTGTCTGCTCTTATGACTGCCTGTGTCAAAGACAAAGACTTTATTGCCTCTAATTGGCGAATGATTGTCAATGAATAGCATTGTAATAATACAAATATATTTATATATTTATATATAGACTACCTTTAACATAAACGCTTATAAGTACTGAATATAAATAAAAAAAATCAGAATTATTAGCCTTGGATTCTTTTCTAGCTCAACAAAATCAAGGCAGAGAAAACTAAATAGACAACGAACTAGTTATGTTTATAGTTCCAGTAGATCTAAATTCAGAAATAGGTGGGGCAACGAGCTACGCCTACGAGTTGAGAGTAAAGTAAACTAGTTGCCTTAATCAGCTGAGTTGGAGTTTTATACAACTCATAGCTGAAGCATGTTTGCTTATATTATTTCTTTTGGAATTTTTATTCAGCTCATTGAACTAGATCGATAGCATTTGAATATCGAGATATTGAAAGTTGATTTTCATTATGCGACTTCGCGGATCCAATTTTAGACGAATTGCTTCAATATGTCCTACTGGAATGTTAGTCTCAAGCTCCTCTGAAGCAAGCTGACACCAAACCGACATATCAAATATAAATTCAATTGTCAAGATTTCAATTCTTCATTCAATTTTTGTTGTTTTCGAACTCCAGACAAGCAGACAGATGAGCGTAAGACTTATCGATTAGCTGCCGTTAGCCAAGCTCTGCTGCATGACATAACCAACTATCTAAATCTAAATTAGTTTTCACGTTTATAGACATGATTCTATGTAGAGTTACGCTAATCAAGTGGAGCTTACGCAAATATACTTAATAAGCTAGATGGATGCATTTGCAGCATCTACAGACGTATGCCACATGTGAGCCAATCAACACAAAAAATCAAACATGCATGAACGTTTTCAAATGTTATTTTCTAGGTTCTTTTTTTAGCAAACATCAGACAGACAAGTTAGCTGCCAGAGGTTGGTGAAAATCAGGGGATGAAACGGGATTGGGTTGAAAAGCTGGCGAGGCGGCCAAGCCAAACGTCATGTTTGCTGCCAAAAATAAACATGATTTTTTCATAAGGCCAACTCGGCTGGCGGAGTCAGTGAGATGCAGCGCATAGAACTGACAGTCGCAGCAGCAGCAATAGCAATAACAACAATTGAAACAGCATATAACAAATGGGGAAAACTGTGAAAAGCGCACTTACCCAATCCCTGTGGCAGCTGCACGTTGACAAACTCCTTGAGCTGCGCCAATTCGAGACAATTCCACAATTGCAAATCCGAATAATAGCCATGCGGATCGAGATTTTCACGTATTGTTGCATTAAACAAATGCACATCCTGTGGTATTATCGACAATCTGGTACGCAGCTCGTCTGGCCGGATTTGCTCAATGTCCACATTATCGATGCGAATGTGGCCGTTCGTCGTCTCCAACACACCAAACAGGGACAGAGCCAGCGAGGACTTGCCACTGCCCGTACGGCCACAGATGCCAATCTGCAAGTGATATATAAAGATATACGCGTATAACTTAATAATATAAAAATATACGTATATAATATAAAGATATGTGTATATGTATATATAGATTGGGTAACTGAAAGACGAGGCAATCGACTGTGTTTCGCTAACCACGTCTAGCCTCAATTCGATATTTCGCATATAACCAAGAGCTGCTAGGCGAACGAATATTTCTAATATGTTTAAATTCAGTTATTTTTAAACAATTTCCTTTTCATTTTTAAGAAACTAGTTCCAATTGAGAAAAAAATTATCCTAATCGTTTTTAAGCCCGCATCCAAAAACACTCAAAATAATTCCAAATTTTAATAAAAACTTAATGAAGTTTCCTATGCAAATTTTTATCCATCCCAATTATATTTATCGAACTCTGAAACAACAGTAATTGAATATATTGAATTTGAAGTTTTTTATAAAAATTCAATTTCAATTCTATAAGTAAAAATAGTTTTCCCATATTTACACAATGTTTTCATAATTCTTATTAATTATATAACATTTTTCATATATAAAGCTAGTTGTATTTTTACTTAAATATTTTTATTTAAAAAAATATTTTTTTTTGTATATTTGAAATTAAATTTTCGGTCATAAAAGAATGCTTTATAATCTAATAAAAAATAAAAATATATTTTAAAAAATGTTCCTAATTTTTCTCTATTAAAAAAATGTTTATAACAAAAATTAAAAGAATTATGAATTATGAATTATGATGCTTTTTAATTATTAATCATTTTATATTTATAAAACAAACTTTTTTGAAAAGTTAAAATTATTTACATATTTATTTTGTTATTTAAATATATAAAACTTTAATGGAATTGCTTTTGGCAAAAATTATAAAATTACGTTTTTCTGCATTTAAAAATGTAATAAATTTATTTTACCAACTTTTTAAATTTATATATAATAAAATATTTAAAATGTACTTCAAAAGACTTCAAAGCTTCGATAAAGCTCCCAATCGTAAAAAAAATTCTGCCATTTTTCCAAGAAGCATTACTAAAATATTTATCAGTTCTACTTGAATTTCAATGAGTTAATAATAATAATAATTCGCATTGTCAAATAGAGTTTTTGAGCTTTTAAAAACTTAAGGTTTATTTAACAACAAATAAATTGAAATGAAATCTCGCCTTTGTTTTTGCCCAACTCTATTGAATTATATGATATTTGTATTATATTTTTCAGACAATGCGAAAACGAAATCGTGACGACAAAAACAATAAAATGCGCTGTTTAAACACATCTAAAACATATCACAGAATATACAAATTTGCAAACATACGCAGAAATTCAATTTTAGTGTATCATGAAATTATGCTGAACAAATATATAAATAAATTCAAATCAAATTTCTGACCTTAAATTGTCAAATTCATTTTATGTATATTTATTTACAATATATTTAATTTAATATGCATTTCCACATTCCGTACATATATAACTAAATAACTTTTATAGAGCATTTAAAGTTCTTTATTAAAGATTTTTATTAGTTTTGGCATATATTCAATATTGATTTTTGATATTTTTAGTTTTGCTTAATACTTTATTTATTTGCTTTGAAAGTTTTTTGTATTTAAATATTATTTTGCTGACCACAAAAACTCAGATATTTATAGAAGCTATTGAAAATCATGTTTTTTATGTGAACTAATAAATTGTGAAAAAATTGTATTTGCTTTCGTTTATTGTTTAATATATTAGATGTTTTATTTTCATTTCTGTGAACCAAATAAAATATTTGTATTTGATGCCCTTTTAAATGTATAAGAGTAATGATAATTTGTCCAGATGGGATATAAATATTATAAAAATGCTTGACAATAATTATTATATTATATTATTATTTATAAACAATCAAGCTTTCATTTATTATTATATTTCCTAAGAATAATTTCTTGATTTTTTGGTTATATTTTTTTGCGTTTTTGTTTCTCAGACAAATCATCAACCTCTTGACTTTATAGTTACCTTGGCTTATCCTCGCCTGGCGACTGTTTTTTTGTCTTTATTATCAACTGTCTCTTGAGTTGTTATATACCAAATCAGTCGTAAATAAATTAATAACATTAGTTAATATGTGCTGAGCTATTTCATTTTAGATTGCCCTAAGGTCTGGGGAGTAATCGTACATATGTGAGTATTGTTTGGTAATTTTGATGGAATTTTAATCTGTTCAGGATGTCTTCAAAAACTGTGAGTATGTCAAGGCGTATGACCATTAACCAAAGAACATTTAGATGGAACATCAAAAGAAGCTACAACACATGGTTAGTGGTAAAACTAAGTTACAAACTCTCATAGTCGATGTTAAGTTGCCCTTATGACGGAGCCACTATTACAACTCATGTTTGCATTTACACAAATTTCTTTCTAAATACGTAATTTTTATTTTATTATTGTATTTCGTCTACTTGTAATATTATGTTTATGTTTGAATAAAAACTGTTTTTGTAGTTTTGTTTTTAAATTTTTTTATTTGATATTTTATTCATTCTTCAAGTTGATTAATGCCCACCACAAGTATAAAATATTATATTATCCATGCAATAACCGAACATGTTACAAAATCAGTTACAGTACGTTAGAAAAGTATACTTAATGTAAAATACTAACACAGAGAAATGTCAAAAATTAATGCAGAATTGTCCGGAATTATTGATTCTGAATATATTGATGAGGAAATCGGTTGCCTAGAAAACCTTTGGCATTAAAGCTTTGCATAATATATGTAGATCTCTCTTGCATTTAAAAATTATATATATTTTTTTAATAAAATATCGAAATATAATTTAGTCACATAATATCTTATATATCTATAAAGCTTTCAATAGCGCACATTTTTCCTTTAAGTACACTTCACTTGCCTCAACGCATTTTGGCATTTACTTTAGTACTTCCATAATGACACTGGATGTATCTATCTAACGATACAGGCAAGTAGTTGCTGACTTTTCAATCAGTTTTTAAGTTATTGACTTTTTGACCATTTTAGTCGAGAATGGAGATTAGAGAATGCAGAATGCTGAATGCTGAATGGATTTGTGTGGCTTTGGTTAGTTTGCGGCCAAAGTGCACACTCAGTTCTCAATGGGCGCTGTTTGAGATGCAGTTACAGTTTGTTGAGCTGCAAGAGATTGGCCTTGCATCTTTCATGCGATTCCATTTGCTGCATATATATATATTGGTCTGAGTTTTTTTATGCCCCGCATTTTTATGAACGGGGTATATTATCAAGTATTATTATAATCAATACAATATATTCTTGACTGGATGGCCCTAGCTGAAATGATCAACTCGATATTCCTCTACGATGCATTTCCTATTACCAAAATATTAATATATATCGACTATTATATATTAGCTGAATTTAAAGATCCATCTTATTTATATATAAAAATAATTTACAGATCTGAGCATATACATTTTTTCTATCTGAACAATTTATTTATTATATTTTATTATTTAAACTAAAATCGATATATATCGATTGTTGTACTCCCACAGCTGCTAACATCTAAATTTATCTCGCTGCCCATGCTTAAATCTGAAATTGTAAGCGTAGCAACTCAGCTTACTTTACTAATAGATTTTACAGGGTATTCGCCAGTCGTTTACCGACAAACTGATTCGAACTGTTGAGGTGCTGCAAGCCTGTTTGGCTTTGACAATATTTATTGTACTTACCCGTTGGCCTGCTGGTATCTTTAAGTCGAGTTGGCTGATAACATTCTGCCTTTGTCCTTCATAACGCAGGCTAACATTTTCGAAGCTGATGTCGCCTCGTTGTGGCCAGGAAATCGGAACGCTTTGGTCTGAGAAATAAATATAAAATAAAAGAAAGCACATAAGCAAACAAAGAGCTGAATGAATGTAAACAAACGCCTATATTAAATTTAAGACCCGAATCGACAAAGCATGAAAATTGTGACCTTTTCGCTCAACTATATATATATATATATATATATATATATATATATTGCGCCCGCAACTGTCAGTTGAATATTTGAAAACTCGAAATGGAAACCAAAAAATGAAACCAGCTAAGCAAAAAGTGATGAGGGCATCGGGCAACGGGCAAACAAAAACTTCATGAAAAGGGTCTTCCAGATCATGGCGCGCACTCGAGTGCTTTTTAAAGTCAACTTTCACAAACACTCCTAAGTAAGTTTAAACTGTGGTCGAACGACTTAGCCCGAAAACGATACCGAGCTTAAAAAATAAAACAAAAAACTAACAATTGACCAAAAAATAGTCGCAAATTTATCCAAGTGAATAAAGCTAAAGATAAAAAGCTTTTATAATATTGATTTAAAAAATGTTGAAACTAATTTAAATATATTGAAGGCCAATAAGAGATTCAATAAATAATAAGATGTTTGCACGTTGAAGCGAAAAAAATTATGAGAATTAGATAAACTTTCATTTTATGACAAACATGTATATTTTTTTATAAAATATTTATATTTATATATTTATAAAATATTTTTATAAAATATTTATTTGCTGTAAGTTTTTTATTTATTTTTATTTTTAGAAGAAAAGCATTATTTATTTAATAAAAATGTAAGTTTAAAAATTATATATGCATATATGGAAATACGGTTTATCCAACCGAAAAAAATTCAAACGCTGAAAAAATTGCCGTTACCTTGCCATCTTACCAATGCGCTCAACACTTAATATTCGAATGAAATTAACTATGAAGCAATGAACACATTTCAATAATTTGCAACACAAGCTGCACACCTGAAACATACTAACAAATGATTTTTTCTCTTATATATATATTTTTTTAATTTCAGATATGCTATATATGCTATTCTTTATTATAAATTAAAAACTGTAAAAAATAAAAATTAGGTAAATAAATTTTATTTGTTATATGCACAAATCCGAAATAATGAAATTATTGCCCTGTATCCTGACAACATTGTCATTGAAAATGTTTAAGGATTGTTGACCAAAAGGTCGAAAAAATTTAATTTTCTCTAAGAATTACTTGATGAGTGAACTACGTCCAAAATGGTCCGAAGTGCAATTTAATAATGGAGAAGCCGAACAAAATAATTAAAGTATTCTGATTATGCGAGGAACACGTCAAATAATCTGACATAGAAACGTTCAATTCTTGTACTATTTATATATATTTAAAATTATTAAAACTCTTGTAATAAAATTTAATGTTTTTTTCCTGAATTTAAATTTTTGTCTATATTTTTGGTTCATTTAAGTTGTAGCCACTGTGTGCCGTGGATTGAAGCTTATAGGAATTGAGAATTCTATTTGAATAGCATATAGATCATTCTTTATCATCAAAATGTCTGTCAAATTGTGTTCTATCGCTGTGTGTATTCCATATCTACGAATCTTGCCGTTCTTTCAGTCCAGCTCAGCCACAACATATACATACATATGTAAATACATATATAGTAGCTACTATATCTAGTGTGGTATACATATATATATAACTTGTACGAATGAAGAGTACCTAGAAGCTGAATGCCAAAATATGCATCGGAAATTGTGGTCTGGCAAAGGCAGTCTGAAAGGCAATTTTGTTAAGAAGATTAAGAATAATTATCAACCATTCAATGGCTTTTAATGGATGCATGACAGAAGTGGAAACCATAGAAACGCTTTAATATAGTATGCCCTATTATTATATGTGACGTGTACACTGTGTTTATAAAAATAGTAGTGCCTTAAAAAAAAACTAAACCAAATGAAAAATAATATATTATTATTATTAATGTATAATGTATATATCCATTTATTGTTTCTGTTTTGTATTTTATACTACTACGACTACTAATATTTTTATGAACCATTTATACAGGTCAGATATAACAACAGTCGAGTTAAACAAATATTTTATAAATATATTTTTTTTCCATAGAACGGACCAATGGCTTGATAAGCTCAAGATTTTTATAAATACGAAATATCGTGTTAAAGTCTTGTCAAGCTAGAAAACACATTTGCAACTCTAATAAAACCTAATGAACGCTCATTTAAGAACACCTGAACTAGTTCACTTCAAGCAGTTAATTTGAACTTGTTACAAATGAATCGGAAAAAACTTCAGTCGCAGCTATCAAAGCAACGGCATCAATTCGAAAAGTTCTCCGAGCTAATCAAGTCAAATTCTTTTTTGCCTCAAAATGGTGCTGGCTGCAATTGAGAATTTCGCCGAAGCACAGCAGGACCTCAATATAAAGGAAGTGCTGGGCATCAAGCGTGTATTGAACAAATTGAATTATCTAGTGCTATCGGATAATCAAACGACCATACTCCTCACGTCCGAGGTGGCCAAAGAGCTCTGTCCCAAGCAAATCATTGAGTTCTATATGAACAAATGTCTTCTAGAGAATGGACAAATGCATGTGCCACAGCAGTACAACATAGGTGAGCAGCCAGCTAGCCAGCTAGAACATATATTAATCAGAATTTAATTGCAGATGTCTAAGAGTGGAATGAAGAGCTCTCAAGAATTACTGAGCTTTATATGAGTTTCCTTGAGGAAACCAATAAAGTTCTTAATCGAAGAAAATTTTAAAAAGAAATCTATAAAAAATGCAATTATTTACTAAAACACTATGGAACAAGAAACTTGTTTCGTAAGTGAAGCCTAATGCTTGACAATATTTAAATAAATTTATATAAAAATTTTATATAATAAGACACTTAATATACATAAATTGTATACAATAAGACACTTAATATAGATTAATAAACATAGGCCAAAGCAATGTCTTCTCAAAGTTTTTTTTTAAATTCTATTATTCAAAAAGTTGCCTTTGATAATTCTATCTATGAAAACGTGCAAATATTTTCAGTTGATTTAAATAGATTGCCTAAGAATGATAAAAATTATTGATGATTTGAAGCGAACTCGATCGATTCGTGTTATAAAATATAAGTATATTTTCAAATTTTTGGTACATATAAAAACAGACGACTAAGGTAAACTTAAGAAATCTTTGTAATTTAGTTCGCAGATTGATTCGAATTGACGCAAATGGCACTATATTGAATGAAATAAGCTTTAGTACTCCAGCTAACGATGTTAAGGTAATTTATATATTTTATTTTATTAATGTAATTTATATTTTTATTTAAGGTAATTTATTTAATTTTTCTTTCGAAGTTTCTATTTTCAATAAGTTCTCTGACAAAACCTGATGAAACAAAAATTATATGAATTTTTTTTCTTACTACAAAAGCTATAAAAAAGGGAAAAAAATTATATATACATACATAAATATATATATGCATCACATACAATTATAATAACAGATTACACGAATCTTCATGAATTAAAAATCCAGCTCGCATCAATTTAAAGTCGCATAAACCCATTGCTAGACTAATTTCACGCAGACTCAACTTTGTCAGACAGTGTAAATGGTTGGCTCAACTATAGCAACTGTCATAAATCAATTGTTAATCAATGAGGCATATAATAGCCATTGCTGCCAACTAGCTGCAAGTGTAACTAGTCACACACAGAAGGAAGGAGACAGAGATAAAGGTAGAGAGAGAGAGAGAGAGACAGTGAGAGAATGAGAGATGCTGCGTGGTACTCACAAGTTTTGATACGCCTTGATGGGTCATTAGATAACGCGACCTTGTCGCCAGGCGCTGTCACTGCCTTATCCTTAATCATTGACGTCCTTGCCGCTGTCGTCGCCAGCTGCCGCTTGTCAACAACTGGCGCCGTGTGGAAGTTTAAGTGATTGCCATTGCCGGCTGCTGTTGGAGCTGAAGCTGCATTGCCTGCATTTAATTTATCAGCAGCTAGAGCCGAGTCGCCGGCAACATCAACGCCAGCTGACGTTGCGCCTGGGTAAACTTTGTCAACGTTAGTCGTGCAGGGCGACCTATCGACTTCATTGCTTATTTCCGTATCCTGGTGCTGCTGCTGCTGCTGCTGCTCCTGCTCCTGCTGCGTCTGCTGTGCATAGTGCGCAATGCGTTCGACCGAGCCCGCATACATCTCCATATCGGCCAAAAGTTTTACAACCCAATTAAGGTAAATCGGCACCAACAACGTGTAGTTTATGGCCAGGCCGACCAGCGAGGGCGTCGGCGTCAACTCCTTGGAGCTGGCGCCTTTATTGATGGCATAAGTTCCTGCCATCTCCGACGTCCTGCCACTTGCCTGCTGCTCCGCCACCGCCTCCTTCACATAGCTGCTGCAACTGACGCTTGCCGTTGCCAGTGCCGTTACGATGGCCACAAAAACAATGCAACCACCCAGGTAATCCTGCAATAAACAGAGACAGTCAAAAAGCAAAAGAGAGACAGCTAGAGGAAGAGAGAGGGGAATAGAGGTAGCTGCTAGCATGATGCATGCTTGTTAGTGTTGGCATTTTGGTAAAGATTTTTTCCACATGACTTTTTAATCAGCCCGTGTGCGTGTTTGTTCTTTTCTATGCTCGTTCATGAAATGAAAAGGAGTTGATTGGTTTCCACGGAATCTCTGACTGTTTATATTTTATGTTTATTTTTTATTTATGAGCACAAGTTGTATTGAAATTAAAAATAAACTCAAGAGTAAATGGATACATCTACTGAGAGCAAGACTGTTAGAAGGCTCACGAGCTTAGAGAGCTGCCATATACTAAACTAAATAGCTACAAAATAACCTAAGGAAATTGTTAAATCTAGCAAACTTTAATATTTTTTCAGCAAGAATTGACAGATCGATTAATGTCATTTCTCGACCAGATCGACCTGTAAATCATGTTAATTAAAGCTTTGTAACTGAACTAAGTGCACAGCCCGGCCAGCTAGAGCTTTTTTAAGTGAAGTAAGTGCATGATCAGGCTACCCAGAGCCTTTCAACGGCAAAGTCAGGCGATGCCCAACTACATCTCGCATACCTCAGATTCATTAGTCTAAAGTCTGCAACTGATTAAACTCCAAAGTAATTAATATTATAAACATATATTTCAAATGATGTATATAAACAGCAGCTCTATCACATTCATAGACTTTCAAGAACCCTCTAAACAGAAACTGACTATAACTTCCACGTCTAAGCAACCAACTCTACAATATTCATAGTTTCTGAGTTCCTTCATTATGGAGAAAGCCTAAGCTCGGCGCAGCAGCTAACTCTCAGAATCAGCTCTCTTCAGTATAGCTTCTTCTTTGAGTTGCAGCGTTAAATTACTCTCAATGCACTCATAAGCATATCTGTCTACTTTAATTCCTTTTCCTGCTTTCTCTGTCCCAGTATTGCTTTCAAGTGTGCAGCATCTTTGTAACTTAATGATACGTTCGCAGCTTTTAAATAAATAAATAATAATCCAAATTGAACCCACGTGAATGATTGGGCTCACAGTTGGAGTCAGCTTACAACAAACTATAAACAATACAAATTTGCCAGTCAAACAATAAAAGTCTTTCAGCCAGACCACCTCGAAGTCGACTTGGCTAACGAGTATCAAACAGTTCGTGGCGCCCGATTGCAAAGCTCGTAGTTGCTCTTTTTATATCTTTCTAAACGGATCCGTCAACTCGTTTGCCCGCCTGGCACTGGACAAACTTTTTACTCTCTTTCATCTTAATGAAAGTTTTACGGGGTAGCTGCCAAACCACAATTGAAAAGTTTTTGCTGCCAGCTTTTGTGGGCGAAGGCGGCAGATGGGTCGATTGAATCTGGCGGCCGCACGCGCTCTTCGTCTCTCTCTCTCTCTATGTTTTTCTATATATATATATATGTATATATAAATATATTTATATATACATATGTGTCTGTGTGTGAATAATCCTCGAACGTAACTTCAAAGCTGTTGCACATGCTGCCTCAAACAGTCTCTGACTTTATTTGCCATGCAGAACCGTGAGTTCGCAATGGCCAATAGGTGTTTTAGTCTTCCGCCCATCAGGTCAATGCAAATCCGATATAAATATATATTTATGAAGAGTGATTAGTGCCATATTATCAAAAGGAAATCTTCAAGTCAAAATTCTTTCTGTGCTATTTGTTTGCAAGGTAAACATGTTTTATGAGCAAATGCAATCCTATTATACATTCAATTGGAGCATGTGAAAACAAAGAGACTTTCCAGTATATCAATGGTTAATGCCAAGTTCATAATATGCTTTGCCAGGCTGTCGCAAGAGCACTTTGCATATGTCCCAAATAACCCAAAGCCAGAAATTGAATTGTTTAATCATGGCACACTCGCAAGTTTGCACCTGAATTATGCAAGTTATGCAGTGCTTGGTGGGTTGGCCCAAGGCGTCAGTCAGCGCAGAGCTAATTCCCATAACGACAATGCAATCAATATATCGGCATGTGTATCTATGTGAATATTAGCTGACCGCACTCTGCATATACCCAATAAAGCAAAGCCAAACATTTCCCCTCGGCTCATGCATAATTCCAGTTGCCGCAATTGCACGCGTCAACACAATGTGCAACAATTTGAGTACAGTCAATGGATGCTTAAGATCCATAACAGACACTTGAACAACTGTAAACTGTAGACTGTAAACTAAACCCTAAGCAAACGGACTCAAAGGCAGCTTTGCTGACAATGCGACTCCTCGGACCCCGCCCGAGGGCAGCTCACCTGAGCCAGCAAACAGCGAGAAATATCAGATATTTGCATCGGCACGCGTCTCCCTAAACTGAAATGCCAATTCAATTGAAATGCACACAAGGATACTTTGCAGGAATCAAATGTGTATATTGACCCAGCCTGTATGGACACTGGGACAGTGGGACAGTGGGGCAGTGAGGGACGCAAAGGACTTACCAATGATATGCCCAGCCAGCGGTTGCTCGTATTCATAATAGTAAACGCAATCGTGTTCGCCTCGAGTCGCTTGAAGAGTATCTCGGTGAAACGTGCCTGCTGATTGTATGCCCGTATTGTGGTCACACCCTGAATCGTCTCCGCCAGATGCGAAATGACCGGCGAGCTGCTTGAGTTCTCGATGCGCTGCAGCTCGCTTGAATAGACAATTTAAAAATAAATACAATTTTGAATTAAATTTCAGTTGGTTTATATAATAATAAAAAGAATTCATATTAAATTTATATAGCTAATATCAATTATATATTAAATTATATTTAAATTTAAATCATCATATAATATAAAATTTGAATATTTAATTCATATAATATATATATAATTTAAATAAGAAATTACGTTTAAATCTATTTTATAATAAAATAAACTTACATTTCGTTTATAACATTTATAGTAAATATAACATTAAAAAAATTTGTATTTAAATTTAAATAAACATATAATATAATATAATTTGTATATTTCACTTATTGATATTTGATTTAAATAAATGGAATATAGACAAATAGATAGATATAGAATATAATAAAATTTAAATTTAAATATAAAATAATTACATTTAAATTTATATCATCATATAATATATTATTTTAATATTTAGTTTATGTAAAAATTATATGACTTTATAAATTAAATAAAATTAAATTAATTTATATTTACATTTATTTTACATAATTTATTTATATTTATATTTATCTAGTTTTTTCGGATTTGCTACAAAGTTAATTCAGACAAAAACGTTGGACAAAAGAGACTTTGGGGAAAATTAGGAATTGTTTTGTATTTGGTCATCTTCACGATGTTTATAATAAATGATATATATATTTTAAATCCTACAAAACTGCATTAAAATATATTTTTAAAACTTTTAAACACACACAAAACCTATAAATTATATTCACTTACTTTTACATAATTATAAAGAATAATATAGAACTCAATAAAATCGTTATTAATATTTTATTCTAAATACTTAAAGAACCAATTGAATTTATGGCTAACAAATTAATAACAATAGACAAATTGTGTAGTCAATAAGCTCATATTTTGCCTTATATAAATTTGGATTATGCTAATTCTTATAAACAAAGTTGAACCATTAAAAAATGCTTCATTTTATTGTTTATTAAATATTAATAACTAAAGTAAATTTCAAATTATGACCTAATGTCAACCCAGCTCAAAGTGTTCATAAAAAGAGAATATAAAAGACAAATAAATTCCTTCAATTACAAAACTCTTTAAAATGTATTTATTTTTGTGTTTATTTTTAGATTTGAATATTTTTTTGCCTTCTTTCTTTTGTAGTCCAACCAGCTAATGGACCACAACAATTGTGCCCCGCCCCCAAGTCGGTTGTCGGTTGTCGGCACTGCAAACTTTATCTGCACGAAAGATGCTCGAAAGACAATTAGAAGCCACAAATGCTTGAATAGAAATCTGCTAATAGAGCCACTCGCACTATCTAAACAAAAACAAAGATATCCCAGGCAGAGCCAAGCAGTAGCAGAGATTGAAAAGTGATTGGCGCCATGCCGAATACTCGACACCCTACGCAAAAATTTGTGAATTAGCAAGGTCGACTTTTAAGGCATAGAAAGGCAGTGCTGAAATTAGGTCATAGATAAGCGAAGCATTCGGCTTGGAATAGTCTTACGAGAGGTAATTAAAGCTGCACAAACAAATATTATCCTTAAGAAGTCTCAAACACAGCACGAAACTAATGCAATTTAACTAAACTTGAACCTTTTAAATATAAATAATAGCTAATCTAACAGACAATTGACTTAATATTTATATACTCTAATAATAATAATTCTATTAATAATATAAAGCTGGCATAAGCTTGCATAAGATAACGTATCTAACTACCCCGGCACTTACAAATCAAACATAGTTCAATTCCCTCCTCCCTCAATTGATAAACTACTATAGTAAATATAGGAAAATAGATACATTTGCTTATAACAAAATATTATATTGCTAATTTCTACTTATCATAAAAATAAAACAAAATTCAATTCGCTCTAAAAATGTTTCTGAAGGCGTACTAAATATTGCGTGCGACTCATTAACGCCATCTAATATACTATATACATATATACTATATATACTATATACATATATACTATATATATATCCTTCGTCGAGGACATAATAAACTCACAATGGATAACATATTACTGTAGCCTGACATATTTCCTGAATACTCAGCCTCAGACGAAGAAGTAAAAGCCTCAAGCAAATTTATTCGTCGCTTTTGCCAAATCGATTTATCTACATCTTGTGCAACAAGTGGAGAGAGGGTGAAAAAAATGATAGAGAGAATTGTAGAGAAAGAGAGATATAGAGAGAGAGAGAAAGAGGAAGAGATAGAGAGAGAGAGAAAGTGAGAGAAATATAGAGAAACAGAGAGAGATAGAGAGATAGAGAGATAGAGAGAGAGAGAGAGAGAGAGCGAGAGAGATAAAGAGCGAGAGAAAGTGTAAGGAAGAGAGAGATATAGAGAGAGAGAGATAAAGAGGGAGGGATAGAGAGAGAGTGTGAGAGAAAGAGACAGAAATATAGAATGGGAAAAAGAGAGAGAGAAAGAGAGAGATAGAAGGTGAGACAAAGAGGAAGGGATAGAGAGAGAGATTGAGAGAAAGATAGAGAAACACAGAGAGAAAGAGAGATAGAGAGATAGAGAGATAGAGAGATAGAGAGATAGATAGATAGAGAGATAGAGAGAGAGAGAGAGAGAGAGAGAGAGAAAGAGAGAAAGGGAGAGGAAGAGACAGATATATATATATATAGAGAGAGAGAGAGAGAGGAAAAGAAAGAGGGAGGGATAGAGAGAAAGAGTTAGAGAAAGATAGAATAAGAGAACAAGACAGAAACATAGATTGGGAAAAAGAGAGAGATAGAAGGGGAGAAAGAGAGAGAGAGAGAAACATAAAGAAGAACCATAAGTTCGATTTGCTACAGCCTAAACTTAATTTGTCACAGTTTTTGGAACTTGAAGATATAAGTCTAGTCTCCTATAAGTCTCCCATGAGTACTATGTACTATTTATGTCCTAACAGATTAAACTATTGTGGACGATTATTAAGCAGTCGATTCTATTGCGACTGCAATATTATTACTAGAATTTATTATTTGATACTTGATACGTGTTATATATATATATAATTTTGTTATTATATTTATATAATTTTTCTATTTGTTATTATTATATATATTTTATTTGTATATATATGGATCAGATAACCTATGCGTTAGCCCTTAAACATCGCTCTAAGCAATAAAAAGAATCTCCCGTGTGGTATTTCAGACATGGATCTAAAGTAATAGTATGTAAGAGTGCTCTAGTCGGGAGTGTCCGACTGGAAAATATCTTGAACCTTGCGCAGACTTGCTATTCCAAGCGTTTTACGTTTAACGTATGCCACGCCTACTCCAGCGTGTCACATTCATTTTGTTTGCTAAGATTTAACGAATTTTCTCTTAAAGCCAAAAAATGATTAATATTGATATCTTTAGGGCTTAACATAAAATAATAAATATTCCATTTGTTTAAGGAATGACTCAAAAATCGCTTTTTTGCTAAAAATCTTATCAAATCTTAAATCTTACTAAAAAGCGTAGTTTGAAAAGTTTACTTACTTATTATATTTATACGACATTTTGATCTCTATTTAAATACATAATTGATTGAATTGCAAACTTAATCGGAATTTTCAAATAGCCTCGATGGAAGGGTGTGTGAAAAGGGTTATCAAACAGTTGGAGCAAAAGTATTAAATGCAAAAACCTTTTGTCTTCATGTTGACAATTTGCAGTTGTGTGTTCGAGTCTAAATGCCTATGGCCAAATACTTTGGCCAGCAAAATGTTGACGAAGTTTTCTAAACAATTCAGCCTGGCCGTAGATGTGAGTGAGAGCAACAAAAATATTAAAAGTTGGCTAACTTTCGAAGAACATGGCAAAATGGAGGCGTGGCAGTTGCACATATTTATTACAGTTAACACAAGAATTATGAAAGTCGCTTTGTCAGCATTACAAAGGAAATTGTGCAACAGGAGCAAAGAGGGAGGAGTATATATATATCTATATCTATATATATATATGTTTCACTTACCGTGCCGAGCACCTGTAGAACTTCTGGATGGCATAGTATGCACCACAAATGGGCAGGGTGAGGGCCAGAAACCAGGGCGTAATGCTCACATTTATGAGTATGGCACAAAGGCAGAGCAAGCTGAACTGCAGCAGGCGTTGACAGGTTGCGGCGATTTTCTGTAAATGAAAAAATATATGTATAGAGAAGCATATGTGTACACTCATGGTCAAGATAATAGGTCCATTACTTAGATTTACTGCGCATACTATTTTGTTTTGTTTTCAAATTAGATTACAAATAAATTCAAGCTTGTGTGATTCCTTGGAGTGTCCGTTTCTTATACAAGAGCTCCTTAAAGACTATTCGTAATGTGTTTGTACTGTTCGAAAGGTTACGCCATAAGTTTCTTGTGCTCTACTATGAGCTTAAAGAACAAAAATAATAATAAAAATTAATTCAGCTAATGAAAATATATAATTCAGCAACTGTAAGTAATGAAAGCTTGCATATCACATATAATTTATTTAGAACAACATTAAACAAGCAAATGATGAACTTTTAAATATTACGGCTAAGCAATTATTTCGCAATAAAAAACTCAAATAAATTAAGTAAGTAAAATACATTTACTTATAATAAAAAAAATATAAATTAACTTCATTTTATAAGTTAAAGTTGCTCAATTATCATAAAAAGATCAACGCGCCCTCAAATTGCGCAGCTGTGACGTCACACTGTTAACTTAACAGAGCGCTTTACATAATCTAATATTGCTCAATTGAGCCGCTGCAGTAGTATTTGTGAGAGACTGTGCTCTTGGCTTTTCTGGCTAGTATCCTCTTCACAAGAGAGAGAGAGAGATAAACAGAAACAGCTGTTGTCTAACGTAGTCCTGGTGTTACTGAGTGAAAGCGAGATGGCACTTATGCAATTCAACTAGAAATAGTCAGTCTGATATATGATTGGCGGCAAGAAACGAGATACAGAAAAGGCACTTGTATTAAAATAGAGACGATCAAATTGATACAGATACGACATCTAAACAGATGTAAATGAGAGCATATTTCATGCTTCTCTATTGCATGTGAAGTAGCTAAGCTTTTGAAAAGTATTTGTAGCTTGTACTGGAATATATTACCCACGACTTGTACTTAGTTGTATGACCAGAATTGTATACATGACTCGTAGCTGGCTGAAAAGCTTCGTGTGGCATGCAACATGGCAGCATAGACAGCAGGTACATAGTTGGCTGCCAGGTAGCTGGTGCGGCTTTTCGGGCAACGTTTTTAAATGACTTTTGCTCGTTTGCAACACACGAATTGACAAATGACTAAATTTGTGTGTGCCACATGCCACACTCACCTCCACTCCGATGCCGCCTCTAAAGCTGGTCGTTTGTCCTAAAATTAACGAGAACGACTACAATTTGCAAGCTCCATGCCCCAGCCAATGAATTGTGTATCCCGGCTCACGTTTTGACAAATGTGAGCCACAAACCCACAAACCCCCTGCCCCAGCAGCACTCCCCAGCCCCTGCCACGCCCCGACAATGTTTCATAATCAAATTTTGTTTGCCAGCCGCTGCGATTGCACAAAGTGCCCAGCCCACTTGTAAAGTGCACGATAATTGAAGATTTATTTGACAAACGCATGCAGATTGAGGTCTGCACAGACACAGCAAACACACACACACACACCCACACACAAACAGACACACAATGACATTATAACAGTCAAAACCAAATGTTGAATTAAATTAGTTATATAATGCACATTCATAATAATTATGGAAACTATTGTTGCACTGCAGAAGATTTTTCTAATTGCTCTACTCTATAATAATATATAAAAAATATAAATATAATTTATAATAATTATAAAATATATTTTTTAAATTTTAAATAACATTTAAATATTCTGTGACAGCTTGCAACTTGTAAATAATTATTGTGGAAACTATAAACAATCTAGTCCGTTAAAAAATAAAGATGATATTTCGAAAACATATATATCATATGGAAAATTCAAAAATTTATTTCTTACATTTTTATTTATAAGAATTATTAGCCTAAACAAATTTTAAAATAAATTTTATTTCAAATCTGATTCCCAAAAAATGTTCAATGTTTTCAGTTTGGTAAGAAACTGTTTATTTATAAGCTGCTACTAAGTTCTAATAAGTTCCAAGTTTTCTAAAAATAAATGAGAGCTCAATATATGTTCAATGTTGAATGATTTAATTCTTGGAAATTTTCGAAATTCTGTTGGCCATATTTAAGCTTTAATAAATGTTCATTCAGCTCAACTTCTTCGTAATATATTGAATTTAAGAGAATTTCATTTTTAATCAACTTAAAAAGCACTTAAATTGCTTTTAATATGTGAAAAAACTATAATTGCTTAAAGAAATAAATGTGGAATTTGACCCTAGGACATCTCAGACATAAACAAACTTCAATCAAAACAAATTAGAGAATAGGTAACAATTCATTAGAGGTGAGCATAGAAATAAATCCATTGCGTTGAAGATCAATCAATGTCATTTTAATCAAGCCAAAGGCACACACACACACACATAATCCTACAAGTTTTTGGTAAATTTGTGTGCAAAACTTGATAAACAAAGTGAAAAACTATAATGAAAGCAACCCTAAAAATGGCGTCAACAAACTCATATATTACGCACACACACACACACACTCTTATATGTACAAAACATCAATGCATAATGCGTGCTTATCAGCTTCAAATCTAAAGCAGAGTAACAGCAACGACAACAACAACAAGAGCGGAAACAACAGGCAATATGCTCATATTTTATGCCGCACAATACAAAAAGCTAACCGAAAATTATGCAGATATATGTAAGTATGTATATGATATATATATACACATATATGTAAGCATGCCAATCGGGTATTACCCGGCTTTGCTTGGTCCAAGTTTTAAATATTAAATTTAAGATTTTACCGATTTAACTATGACATTCAATTTCATTTATATATGACATATTATATATAGATATTATATAGATAAAATAACAGATTTTAAGATATAAATAATGTATATGAATTATCAAGTTTTATAGTGAATAAAATGCATAATAATTCCAAGCAAATGAGCAAGAACAAAGTTGTTTGGAAAAGAGTCTGTCACTGGACGCAGGCATCCTTAAGACCGTGCTCAATAACAGCACAAAGAGGGGCTCAAAAGTGTGAGATCGTGAAAGAGAAAACAGCCATAGCAAATGCAATTCAGCGTGCGAACCAACTGATGGTGCCTAGAGCATTTTCACTTACCTCAACAACAAAAAAATATTAAAATAAAAAATATATTTACATTACAATAGCGCTCGAAAATACTCTCAGTCAATCAGATGTTCAGTCATTCAGAAGAGCAACAACAACGAAACAAGGCTTCAAGCCACAACTAAGGAACACCCTTAATCTACGAGAGATTTTTCAATCAAATTCGAGTTATTTTTGTCAGTTTTGCTGCGGTCTTCATAAAGGAAGATGAAACAAGTTGCGTCTTCGTGAGCTCAAGACAATTACTTAAAATTGTTGAATTTTGTTTTTAATTTTCGAGCACTTTTGAATTGTTATATTGTAATAAAAAATAAATAAAATAAAAATTACAATAAAGTAAAAAATCAAGACAAAAACTGAATTATTTTTAAGGCTACTGCAATAATGATGATGATGAGATATTAAAAGAGATATATACTATTAAGAATATATATATTCTGCAATATAAAATATAGTCTTTGTTTATATAAAATAAATTCAATTTATTCTTATTCGAGCTTCTTTAGTTTGCTATAGGTTCCAAGATTGATTCATTCTTGAGCTGTTTCTTAGTGTTACATAAATCGCAATGCACTCTTTCTATTTCACTCATTTAAAGTATGCCCTAATGGGCTATGCCTACACAAGTAAAAAAAACTACAACCAGCATTAATCGCTATCAGTAATAAAATTATATTCTATATATTAAGAGATCTTATTTGAATAAACTTTAAGTTCGTTCAACCACTTGTCGCATCTATCTTCACATAGCCAGCATACCCGCTTAAATTCGTTCTCCCACACAGGGTAGTTGATATAAATAACAAATCTTACCTTATCAATGATCGCCATGTCGCTGCTGAAACGATTCAGAATGCGTCCGAGCGGCGTCACTTGGAAAAAATGCAAAGTTTTATGCAAAATCGTTAGCAACAGTTTATCGTGCAAATTACGGCTGGCTTTGCAGCCGGCCCATTGTCCGGCCGGTGTTGATATCATGGCCATTATAATGCAAACACACGAAATTGTTGCATACATGCGAAAATAGTACGTGACTTCGTGGCTGGCCGCGTCCATGCGGCCGTCGCTCCTGGCGTCCACATGGTCGCTCCAGTGCTGCAGCCAAACGTCCGTATAGACACGCAAACATTGCCAAATTAGTGCGGTGATAAAAAAGACAATGATTATGGGCAGACCGGAGGCGCGCATATATAGCAGATATATATGATTCGATATTTGGCCATATTTGCGTTCCACATCTGTCGCTGTCGCTGTCGCTGTCCCTGCAACTGCAGCTCCACCTCCACCTGCTGCATGCACAGCCTGTGCCTCTGCCCTTGCCCGTTCCCTTTCACGCTCTTCTCTCTTTAGCCGCATTGACAGTGACGTCACGTCTGACACGTCAACGTCATCGCCATCATCCTCATTGCCTTCCTCGTTGTCATCATTGTTATTGTTGTTGTTGTTGTTGTTATTGTTATTGCTGCGCCCATTTGTTGGCAATGCATTGAAGTCGATTTTAACATCTGCAAAGAGCAGGAATAATGTTGAATACACGTGGCCAAAATACAGTTTTCGGTTAGTGCCCAGAGCAAGACTTTAATCAATTGAATATTCTTTAATTACACTAGCCTACAAAGTTCTACTTTTTTAACGTTGTATGAAAATTGAAAAGGAAAAGACTGCATTGGGTTATATCTGAGCTGTTTACTGTCTGTAAATTGGCACTCATGAATACCCCTAACCAAATCACACTGAAAGCTTAGACAATCGCTGTATGTATATATAAAATATTAGAATATATTTTTATGTATATAAATATACAAAGCATTTATCTGAATTATGTACTAATTATACTGAATTACGTACTAATTATAGTTAATTATAAGTTTATTAATATATTCTGCTATTCGCACCTTAAATTAAGATTCTCGAGCAGTAAAAGGAAGCAGATCAGAAACAATTATTTTTTTGACATTTTCTAATATTTGAAATAGGTTTTTTATGCCAATTAGGGGGTAAGGGGATAACGTTTCCAAAATCCAATAACTTACAAATATATGTATTCACCACAGAAACCTACACGGGAAATCTAAATTCTACACCATTTACGAGACTCAAGCCACGCTTAAAAACGAAGGCAAATTATTGCTTTTGATCGATAATAAGGAAGCAGCATGAGTTATCGAAATAGAATCATAAATCGAAATTCAAAATTGAATTTCTAAGTCTCTAGCTTTTATGGCTTACGACATCGCTTCAATGACGGATGAATAGCCTGACATGACTAAATCTGATCAAAAATATATCTCCTTTCTAGGTTCTGCCACGCCTTCTTCAGCCTGTAACACATATTTTAACAAACCCATTATACCCTGCATTCCCATTTCCAAACTTTCAGGATATAAAAATATCAGCAGATGAAAACTTAAAATGCACCTTGAGGACGACTCAAGATGTAAGGAAGGAATACATATGTAAACATATATGAATGTATTTGCATGAAAAGTATGACTGGAAATAGTCATAACAAGTCATTGACTAAAATTTAAATTAAAATTTAAAAAATCTATAAATAATTAGAAATTTTTTTCCTTTTTTTTATTTTTCATTAAATTTGACTATATGTTGAAAATAATATTGCTTAAATCATTAGATTGCTTAAACCCAGTTAAACTATAATTTATTAATTAATTTGCAAACAAATTTTATAAAAGGTGATTTTTTATAGTTACATAAGTTAAGATCATAATAACTTTATTTTAAAAAATTATTATATTTCAATGAAACAGGCTTTATAGAATAGAAATCCTTATGAAATTCATATTCAATATGATTTCGGTCAAAAACTCATAAAAGGGCAATTCAAATTGCAAACCAAGTGTCTTGACCTACATTTTAGCAGCAATATTGGGAAATTATCATGCCAAAATTCAAGTAAAACATTTTAACCTTAATAAATTAAATATATTGATAAGTATATACATATACAAATACATATATAAATACATATATTTTAAAAATAAATATGTAGACATCTGTATATAAAAACCATTTAACACATTCAATAAAGCTCTCAAACATGTGCTCTATCTCTGCTCATAAAATAAGTAAATAAAAGAGTTAAATAAAAAACATATGTATATTTGGTTAATTTAGAGCTTCAACAATTGGATGTGTGTCAAGGTCGTTGTGCAGTTGCACCTTTTACAAATATTATTAATCAAAATATCGTGAAAGCCCAAACAACAACAGCAACAATGTAGCCCGGCGATGTGACTGAGTAATAAAATATTTGTGTTATTTTTGTATCGATTGGCATGCCACATGCACCCGACGCCCACACCGCACCGCCTGCTGTCCCCACGATTTTTGTACTTTTCCACCTGTCTGACTATCAATGCTTCCTTTCTGATGTTTGTTCCAATAAAAATTCAATTTTATATGCACGCACACACACACACATGCCAATCGTAGCAAACAATCAAAAACAAGTTTTATTTTTTCTTTTCATTATTTTTTAGCGCTTTTCCAGTTTTTCTTTTCCATTTTTTGTGCCCTTTTACAATGTGCCACATGTTGCAATCAGCAATGCGTAACGGGCAGAACAGTTGAATTTAATCAATAAGAGTAAAAACCTTTTAGAATCGAAATAGTTTTCAAGATGTTTTCAAATAATTTAAAATAAAATAAATGTATATTAAATTAATATTCTAAAAAAAAGTAAAATAATTTATAGCTCTTAACAAATCTGAAACATTATAATGTTATATATATTTATGATAAATATGAGATGATATATAGTGTATACTAAATATTTATATATATAAAAAAAATTTAAAACCTAATGTTTTCATAGGAATTTTTTAAAAATAATTTAACATCTCTGATATATTTCATCTAATAGCTCTGTATTTATTTGCAAGCTTATCTGTGTTTGTTTTCAAATTTAACTATGTGTTTGCTTGATCAATAGCAAAAAGCTGAATCAGTTTCGAGTAGTTGGGAAAATAGTTTTCATTGCACTTGCAAAGAGTCTCCATTCCGACAATCTCTGTGACACTCGAGCAACTGATTAACTTGAAAGTTTGGCGCTTCGGGCTCAAACTCGGCAAGTTGTCAGCCAAAATATTGACAGTGGGTGGATAGATCAATGCATTGAGTTAAGCAAAAGTTTTTCTTTTTGGCAAGCCCCCAGACAGAGATGAGCTCGAAAAGATAAAAGGATAGAGAGAGAGAGAGAGTCATAGTCTCTTTGAGTAACCGCTGGGAGTCGAAAACTTTTAAAAATCAAACTTGATTTAAGTTTTTCTCTCCGACACACACACACACAGCCGATGAATTGTTTCGAAAATATGCACACAGATATTGTGATAAATATGGCAATATTTTCTTTGTAGTCTTTCGGCAGCCGTCGCGCCATATAAATTCACTCTAATCAATATTCATTTATGCCCAGGCAACCAACGCCAACGCCCCGAAAGAGTTGAGCTAAGTCGCCAGCAGTCAATATTTGCAGTTGCTCCAAACTCTATTGCACATTCCTTAACGCTTATTGATGGCCCTAGACGCAGGCCACTCGCATTTTAATTAGCCAATATGCAAATTGATTGTCAATTACCTTCCCGTTTTTTCCCCTTTTCTTATGCTGCGGGTATTATTCCTTTTGCATTACGGCAAATTCAATATCAATTAGCCAAGCGTAGAAAGCGATTCGCTTGCTTCAAATGTAAATAAAAAGCTGGAAAATTGTAAAGAAACTAAAAAATCCAGCTGTCTTGGCTTATAGATATAAAAAGGAAACTCTTAAGACAGTTGCGCAAAGTTTTTGCCATCGTAAAATAATTATTTAACTCAACTTAATTAATTTCAAACATATTTGCTCACAATTGAACGGATTATGGCTCGGAATGCCAACTGAGTTTTTGCTATAAAGAACATCTTTAGTGATCAGCTGCGGAAACTGAAGCAAATGTCTCGATTTAAATGACGAGATTTAAGCTAAGCATAAATATCGTAGACCCAATCTTGGTTTTATATATTTAACCCCATTTGATAGATTCAAAGTTGGATTTAGTGGCATATTTAGCGCCAGCCTAAATAAAGTGGCCAAATAAGAGCAATAGAAAATGAAATTGTTGTGAAACAAAAACAGTCCAAAATATTACTCTGCTTTAGTTTTAGTTTAAAGCTATATCCTTGCCTTTATATAGAGTGCCATATCTCATAAATGATCAGCTCAGCTTAGCTGGCAGTGCTTCGAGCTTGAGATCGCATTTTAAATGACTCAGTTCAAAAAGTTGACTTCCTGCCGATGTCCTCTTTAATACAGATTACTCTTTACATATATTTTCTGCACTTTACATTATTCTGTGACTGGATATTGGCTTAGATTCCAAATTTGCCTGCACAGTGAAGTCGTAAGACATCAAATTTCTCTGCGAAATTCCCTTAAAATTTTAGCCCCCAAACTGAAATTTTAATGGCTTTGCTTGAATGTCTGCAAAGCCATTAAAATTTCAGTTCGGGGGCTAAAATTTTAAGGGAAGCAAGCTCAAACTCAATTATTAAATTTAATATCGCTTTAAGTTCAAACGTTATTGCCTTAAAAGTAGTTATCGATAGCATAGATCCATTGAAATTTAAATATTGCGAAAATTATACTTTCATTATCCGAAATTCTTATGTAAAATGCTGGCTCCAAATATAAAACAACTGAGAAAAAGCCAAATATTATATATAAAACATTTTTCTGATCAAATCTTAATACACAAAGTTATCGATAACAGAAATATTTAATGAATTATAATTCTCGCATAGTATGTCTTGTTGAATCGTACTAAATTCTTGAGAAAAATGGCTTCTGAGAATCAGCCCATTTTGATATACAAACCGATATCTGTTCTATCCTTATTGAATAGAAAAGTTATCGATAATATAAGCAGCTGATGAATTGTAACTCTTGCAAATAGTATTACTCTAGTTTGGTTACCCTGTACTTGAAGATAATTTGGTTTCTAATATAAAACTGCTGAGACAGTCGCAAGCATTTTATAAAATATCTAGTAGACTAATGGGTCCATATATCCAATATCATTTGGCAGATTCAAACTGGAGATTTGGCTTTGAAATATATATATTTTCAGTAAAATATAAATTTTGATCAACTTCTATATATTTTCCAAGTTTTGGTAAAACAAAAAATTTTAAAATAAAAATTATACAACAAACTTAAATGCAAGTGTGTCTAAACTATTTATCAGCACTGTAATAAAATATAAATTAATATAAATTAAGTCGAGCACGCACATGCTAAGCAAATGAATAACATAAATAAATTTACAACAAAATAAATATTTATCTCAAATAACTTTAAAGTGAGATAAATAAAACTAAGTTTTACGACAATTTTAACTCCATCGCAAAAATATTTAAAATATTTCTTACTACCTACTTCCGTTTTCTACCTTGAAATTCCAACTATTGGCTGAAAGATTGCCAAAATAGGCAAAACCTGAGGCTGATTTAAATTTCAAGGGGCCTGCCTTGGCCTTGAGCCCACTCGGCTAAGTTCAAAGGAAGTATGCAAGGAATGTGTCGACTTGAAGACAACTAAAAATAATGAACGCTGCGCCCAATGCTGTGCCAATATTTAATAACAATAAAGTGTGCGCTCAGTCGAAAGTTGTTTAAAGGCAGAATCACGTATACGCACTGTCTGCCATCGATTTAGTTGACCCATATGGCGCAGTGGAACTTTCAATGCATACAAATGTTGCTGAAGCAAGCGAAGAGGACGAACTTTAGCCAGTTGGCAGCTAGGCAACTAGGCAACTAGAAATCTAGTTGTTACAACATGCCAGATGCATAACTTACGCTTCACTGGTGGCTCCACTACAACAGCAGGAGCAGGAGCAGAAGGAGATGCGGCAGTGGCAGACAATTCGTGCATCTCTCTCCTTAGTTCCAGGTCGTCGACAGTTGTCTCTGAATTTGTTGTTGGCTGTGGATTGGAAACGTCAGCGACAGGCGTTGAAGGCACTGAACTTAGCTCAACTGTTGGCAAAAGAGCTGCGGCACCGGACTCCTCCGAGATGCTCCTGCAAGAAGACAGCACGAAACATAGTTGAAGCCAAACAAGTTACTTTCAGTACGGCTAAGCAAATTATTTACCTAATCGAGTTGGCCGCGCTGAGCGGACGATGATGATGCTTTGGCTTGTTGGAGCGCCGCATGGACATGCGTCGCAGGAACTGTTGGAAGCTGCCGCGACTCTGTGCCACAGCCTCCTCAGTGGTTGGCAGTGGCTGTGCCGCCTCCATTGCCGGTGGCGAGGAGACATTTCGCGTCACCGGCGCATGATGCATTTTCTGCGCTGGCTGCCACGACTGGGCACGTGGGCACAGCTCAGCTTGGGGCGGCGGCGGTGGCGTAACTCCGTCTGTGAGCGAGTCGCCGCCATCGACACTGCTCTCCGCATAGCTACTGCAGCTGGCTGTCATCAGGCTGCGGCGCAGCAAGTCTCCACTGTTCGTGCTGGACGTGGACGTTGCCGTTGCCGAGCTGAGTCCACTTAGTCGATGCCACGAGTTCCTCGATCGAGCACTGCTGCCACGACGCTGCAGCGCGGCACGCCGACGTGGTCGCATGATGACATCATCCGCCTGACACTCGTCAATGGGAAGCGGCACATCATAGATCAAATGCCGTGAGCCATAGACGCTCGCTCGCTTGCGCTGCAAATGGAAGCTGCCTGCCGACTGCAAGCCACAGCTGATGCCACTGGCCAGGGACAGTGACTGAGCAGAGAGCAGTAGAAACAAAAATATGTTTAGAAAGCAAACTTTACTATGAAATATAAATATTTATTCTTAATACAGAAAGGCTTGTGCCACCACCAAGGATTTAATCTAAAGCTTAAGCTTTTTTAAGGGTTTTAATTGTCTCAGAATTCTATAAAGTAAACCTAGACAATTTTTTCGATTCGGATGTGTAAATTTCCTTAAGCATACGTCTCTACTATGTATTAAAAATATCGATAATTATCGATAGCAAGAATCGTGCTGATTAAGTACATATATGCGTACATTTTCAAACATTCTACCCTGAGCTCAAAATATGAAAATATGACTAATTTTCAAAATAGAGCGATCTATAACGCACAAGAAAATACTCAATGCGCTCGATGCCTCTTGAGCGTCCAAATGAAACGCCTAGACACACCAAGCCAGGGCGTCTTGCCAGCAGCCAGGTTGATATCACCTGCAGAACCTTCTTCATTATTATTGAGTCTGCTCTACACCCCCTCTTCAACTATCCCCTTTAGTCTCCTGTAGTCATACAGAAAACACAATATAAATGTAAATATAATGTAATTAGAATTTGCTGATTGTTCTATCAAACAAATTGCCAATACAAATATAAAGAATATTGTGCTAAATATATTCAAGAACCCATTACCTGCAATAAAATTTCGACTTCTTTTGAAATATTTGCAAAAACTATATGGAATATATTACTTCGCAGGCGACTTCTGATACAACAAAATATTGAAGCCTCACAGCAGGCATGAACTCTATTTCCTTAAGATATTTTATTGCAGCCAATTACTAAACAACACGCAGAATAACTAGGTAAGGCTCAAGGTCTGTCTCTTCCTATTAGCAATTTTCTTGCAGCATCACAAGTTCTGCTTCTTTAATTCCTGTAATACACTTTTTGGCACACTTACCGCAGGCAGATCGTCGTCCTCCTCGTCCTCTTCGACGGCATTGTTGAGCATATTGTTAAATGACATTGATATGCTGCCATCCAAGCAATTGGCATCCAGCTCCGAGTTATTGCCGCCGCCAGTTTCCGAACTAATCGATATTGAACGCTGCAAACCCAATTTGCTGACATTCTTGAATAGCTTCCAGCGTTCCCGAGCTGTGCGTTCCGTGGCGCTGCAAATAGATGACAATCCAGAATAAATACAACAGAAGCTTACTCTGAGGGACACTGCAGTCCTTGCCACGCTCTATTAACAACCCTCAATATGTTACAAACAAAAACAAAGAAGCAAATGCTCTACGCTTGACTGCATACCAAAAATATTGTTTGCCACGCCCAGCTTCTTGATCACTAAAATTAGACTTCTACAATTTTATACAGACTTACTTATTCAAATGTGTACAGATTTTTACAGATATATGTTAACTTACAGATATGTTAGCTTACACAGTCTTATACAGTCATATACAGTCTTATACATAATTTTTAGTGCCTCTGCAAACTTATATCACTAGAAAAAGAACCTTGCGTATACAATCTTATACATACTAACTTATACGAACTTATACAGAGTTTAACAGAGCTGTATACTTAGACTGATTTACATAGACTTACATAGAGATACTTGCACAGTCTTATACAGACTGGCAGAGACTTATTCAGACTTATACAGATTTGTACAGAGTTATACAGATTTTTAAAGACTTATACAAACTACTTTCACAGGCTTAAAAGCCTTTCACAAAATTATAACAACTCAAACAGACATTCAAACCAATATGGACTTTATCAGACTTATACTATCTTATACAGACTAGTACAGTCTAATACAATCTTATATAGATTTAGCTATACATATGCAGACTTTTGTAGAGTTTTTTGAAAACGTTTACACACTTAGACAGACTAAGAGCTTTGAGCTGACTTATACAGACTTCAGTGAATTATGAAAAATGATACAGAGAGGCAGACTAGTAAGGGTTTAGCAGGCTTAAACTATCTTATACAGACTTATGAAATCTTATATAGATTTACCTAAACAAACTTATACAGACTTTTTTAGACTTATGCTAACTTAACAGACTTATTAGTTTATACTTCTTCTAAGAGCTTACACCATAAGGTCAGGTCATTTCAGCTTTTGTAAAATCAACACAAAATATTCATTAACAAGATAATTAGATAGATAATCAGATAATAATTAATTAGTAATACTTCTGGTATTCAAAATGAGTTCTAAATTTGTAAATTAAATTCATAGTCCCTTATGCTATAATTAGAGTGTTAAAACATTGTAGAGCAGTACGGAAATATTCTTATTTGCCCATTTCACTGAAACTAACTAAATATAATAATAATAAAATATATTAAAATTATTATATATGATATAATAAATTTATATAATATAATAAATGATAATAATATTAAATATATATAATATAATAAATATATATAATATAATAAATATAAAATGATATAAAAAGTTCCCCAATGCAAATGAAATGTGGCATTCGCAACAAGATTTTGCTACAAGGCAAATAAATTGGCTTAATATTTCATTTTGAAAATGCTGTAAATATAATTTATAGATGGGCTGCTTGATGAGAAAAAAGCCTTAAGTCTCAAGCCAGTGGATCACAAAGGCAGCTGGCACTCGTTGCCAACGGCCTCATTATGTTAACAATGTTTCAGTTTTGGCGTCAATCATTTTTTTTGCTTTGTCACAAGTGAACTTTAATGGAAATCGAAGTACTTGAAGCAGGAGAGAAAGGCGTGGCTCTAGTAAAAGTAAAAGTAGAAGTAAAGAAAAACTTCTGCGTGCACATAGCAAAGATTCCTTCAGTTTATGCCGCACACAAAGGGATAAGCCGTTGACAATGGCTCAGTCACACACTAATCTATGCCTGCTCCCGAAAGAAAACACAAAGTTTTCTCTTTGGATTGACGCTGACGCTGACGCTGACTCTGACGGTAACTCTGTTCCGGGCACTGGCAATGACGTCGTCTACTCACTTTTGTGGCTGGTCCTTTGCATTCTCGTTTGCCTTAGCAATTATCGAGTTCCATTTGGCGATTATTTTCGGCTGCTTTAGCTCAATGTCCTTATAACTGCCGCAAGCTTGCAGTCGCCCATCCTTCATCACAATTAACTGAAAGGTCGCCGGAATGAAATGAAAGAATATGAAAGGCAGAAGAAAAAAAAACGTTACAGAGCATAACAAGTTAGAATATTGTACGAAATGATGAACGTCGAACAGTTGCCCTGTAAGCCGACATGGAATAACCAATTCAAGACTTTTTATCATGATTGACTGACTCATAAGCTGACTAACTGATGGGCAGACCTAGATGACAGTTAAAGTAGACTCTCTGATTGACTGACTGACTGAGATATTGAGCATAGACTTGACTGATTGCAGTTCTCTACCTCAACTTCTGATTGATTGATGACTGATTGACTGACTTGTAGATATATGTTAATGACTGATAGATGAAGCTGACTTAGACTGAGTCATTAACTGACTGACTAATTCATATACTGATAGGTTAACGAATTGACTTGAAGTATATAACAAACAGATTGATTGACTGATTACGAACTTAACCATTTGTATTAGCGCGTGTATACCTCACAAACAGAATAACTGACGGACTGACTGAGAGATCGAGGGACTCTAGTATTACTGGCTGACAGTGCAAGCTCTTTGGTTGACTGACTGATTGACATATTAACAGACTGGCTAACTAAGGGACTGATTGAAGACTGAAGTGTCTCAGAAATAGATTGATTGATTGAAAGGCATACCTGACTAACTAAGCATAAGCTGAATTGAACAGCGAGCAAATGACGCACATGCAGATTGACTGATTGACTGACGGACTTTCAGATTAAGTGGTTGACTGACGGACTGATTGAGACACTGACTGATCATAGGCATGACTGATCTCATGAGCTGTATACACTACAAGCAGATTGACTGATTGACTGACTGACTGTCAGGCTAACTATTGGCTAACTAATTTATTGAGCCTTGTTCAATCAGATTGACTAATGGAATGGGTGGCTGTTTGAGTGACTAACTGCTCAATTAATAGACTGACGTAAAATGACGGTCCGACTGGTTGATTGACAGATAAGTTAAGTAATTTTCAAGCGGATTGCCCAGTGGAATGATTGACTGACTGAAATATTGTCTGTCGGGCAAACTAACTGACTGACTCAATTCATAGACTGATTAAGAGACTAAGCTTAATTGACTGAATGATTGACTAATTGAGAGACTGACCAGCAGTTACAATGTCCAATAACTGATTAACTGATTGAAGTCAAAAGATTTATGTATTCGAAAGACATGGCTCAATCAAAATAGTCTATTAAATTATAAGAAGAGGATAGATTAACTTAAGCTTTTATATTTTCATATTTTTTTTAATAAATTAAGAAGTTAATATCCATTGCATCAGATATGTGAGCAGCTTAACCTGCCCAAAGGTATGTGCCTTGGCTCTACGGCAAGCTCTTCTTGTCTCTAATTGTACAGGGTATATAAAAGAAAAGAGGTGCAGCACAAAAGGCAATAAATTCAATTTCGAAATTTAAATTTGAAATTTTTTTTGTCTGCTGTCTTTTTTTGCTGCTGCTGCTGCTGCGTTGCAGTTGCTGCTCAAATAATTGTAAAAATGTGTGCGCAAGCAGGCGAAGAGGAGAAGCTGCGTGCAGAGTGGGAGCCAGCAGACCGGCAACAAATGGTCTTTCCAGGCAATTGCATTTATGGCCAAAAGGCGATAAATGGCCCCGGCATTTGGAGCGCAAAGTAACGAACGGATGCTGGCAAAGAGCGCTGGACGCTGGACGCAGGACGCAGGACGCCAGACCACATTGAATGGCCAGCCACAGCGCCCAATATCGAGCCCACCGCAACTTCAGATCTGGACAGTTGTCAGGGCTAAGAAATTTGATTATGAAATGCTGTCTAGCCCCGAGGGACCCACTTACATAATCCGCCTCCTTGATCAACTGTAATTGCTGTGTCACCAGGATGATGGTACGATTCGACTTCAAAAGCATTTGACGCACACACTGCTCGAAGACATGGCTGCCCACTTCATTGTCCAGCGATGACAGCGGATCATCCTAGAAAATGCAATTACATTTCAATATTATTACACGCTTATTATGCAGCAACCCATAAAAAAGTCGCATTGTTGCTCTCATTTAATGCATGTTCATAGCTGAGCTTAACACAAAGACGCCAAGTTAACAGGAAGTTAAAGTTTGTCGTTGCCAAGAAACGCGATAAAGATTTACCAAAGGTCGTTGGAGTTGAATATATATATATTATATTATATATTATATATTTCTATTTATAAATATATCATCAATATAAGCTCTAGTTTTTCCAAAATAATTATACCATTCAACTGTATTTGATAGAGAAAAATCAAACCAAGTTTTACACCTAGTTGCAAGCTGAAGCTGGAAAGGACTTGGTCTATTGCAGTTATTAAACCTAATAGTGGTTACTATGCAGATTTTTTATATATTAATATATCAGTTTTGCAAAAGTAGATTAGATCTTAAGGTCTGTATTTTTATTAAGAATATCGCCTGCTAAATTTACCTGCCAATACTCCATTTTCAATGTCTGTTTTGGCAAATTAATTTAGCAGAAGCTTAGTTCACAAAGAAAATTTTTTTAAATATTTAAATGAGTTTTGAAAAAGAGCAATAATATTTTATGACATCTCTCTGGTGTCTATGGAAAACAAAAAAAATATTATGTGGACTACGGTCTCGTGTATTAAATAATATTTTATAATATAAAATACAAGATAATCGAGTATAGGAACATAGGAAACAGACCTTTGTCATATACTCTAATCTCATGTCCTGGGAGAACAGAGATAAGTTGTACAGAAAATCTATTTCTAGGAAAAGGCATATTCAATAAGAAGCTAAATAGTTATTAGATAACAAGCTAAATAAAGGCATTATCCATTATTAACTTTGTTAAAATTTAGTGAACAATACAACATTTTTTCACGCAACTTTGACTTGCCTACTTCAAATCTAAAGCCAAAATACTCTGGTTTCAGCTTCGAATTAGGTAAATCAAAGTCCCTAAATTCTAAAAAATTTACTTGTTCTTCATTATCTTAGCATGCACTAATATTTATAAACATATTTGTATTCTACAAAACTCTAAAAATATTTTCCTAATTTGTAATTTCCCAAATCGATATGAAAATATATTCAGATATTTTCACTAACATTTAATCAAATGTTATCCAAGTCCATCCACATATCATACCTGTTACAACCTTATAAAATTTATATATCATTCAAGACAAGACTCTAAGCCCTTATTGAAAGTAAGAAATTAGAAGTAAATGTTTTTAGTTTCTTTTGTCATGCCAAAGTCTTCTCAGTTTCCATTTGCTAAGCGCATCTCCTAACGAATAAGGGCAAGGACCCTATTTTTGGGCGAGTCTCATAAAAGCTGTTTACCCTGCAACAGTGTTTCGAGATTTTCTTTTTATGCTTAATTTAAAATTTAAACGTTTCACGGATTTTATGAGCGCAGATGCATTCGCATAAAATGCACTGAGGCATCGGATTGACTTGAAGTTAGGACGATGTGCAAGGTCCTTGTTCGCGTTCGTGTTCGAGTCCTTGGCATTTGCTCACTTACCATTATGACGACGTTGGCCGATGAATAAATTGCACGTGCTATAGCCACGCGCTGCCTCTGTCCGCCGGATAGATTGATGCCCCGTTCGCCGATTATCGTAAAATCACCGGTTGGCATTAGTTGAATATCCGGTTTTAGTGCGCACGCATCCAGCACAAAATCGTAACGCTTCGGCCGGAATGATTCGCCAAAGAGTATATTCTCCCGTATTGTGTCATTAAGCAGCCATGGAACTTGCGGCACATACGAGATGGTACAGTTTCTGAGAAATATAATAAAACATACAATTGATTACGTAAATTGCTACCATAGAATGCGTGGGCATTTTACTAAGCATTAAATGAACTAGTTGTCGTTCATTTTATGATGCTAATGAGCCAGTTCTTCAGGGTAGTTTGGCTTGAATTCAGTTTCAAGAGATGATAAGAATTTAATAAAAAAGGAGGAAATTGTAGAAATAGTGAAAACATGAAACAAAATGCAAACATTTATTCTCTGCTTATGAATGTAGGAAATAAAACGAATGTTGTTTGCGAATCGCAATTAAATCACCTTTCCTTACGTCCTCTCATGTTGGTCTGTAAGCGAGCGCAGAGATGAGTCTACTTACAAATGAGTAACCTTACTTTCACTTCCATTGCAGACTAACTCTGCTTTTGTTGTATGCAGCCGAAACTACCATATCATTTCCATATGTGCGAGCGAGACAAACAGTGGGCTTGTAAATTAAACTCAATCAACTCAGAAGAATAAGAGTAAAGCAGAGACAAGAAAATGAAGTGGACGCAGGATAGGTTTAAATGCATTCAAATTAACCTTAAATGTTTGATTTTGTATGTAACGTTTTGCTCTAAGTGTAGGTTGACTCATCTTTTGTTATACATTTGGAAACTAAAAAAGACGTGGCATAGTACTTGCGTATGTGCAAGAGAGGCAAACAGCATAGAGAGCATAAATGAGTGGAATAAAACTAATGTCTGTATGCATGTTGGTTATAATCGACGACTGAAGTTTACCGAATCGGACAATTCGAATTCTATTGACACATGTGCGAAAGAAAGAGAGAGACAGAAAGAGAAGCACGAATGAAATTATTCGTAAAAGAGTTAGAGTATTAATGCAATAGCGTCCGGGATGACAATTATGAAGCTTAAACCCATGTATGTAGGTATTAATTTACATACATATACATAAAATTCACTGTTCATCAAGCTTAGCTGGTAGACTGCATTTTATCTAAACCGCTATTAAGCTTCAAACTTTCATCGTTAATCAAAACTGTCACACAAACACACACACACTCGCAGAGGGCATACACCTAGTAGATACGCATGTGTACATGTGTAAGCTTTCGCTTTTACATGACATCGCTAATTATGGCAAATGCGAGTGACTTCAATTAATTAGCTGCAATTTAGTTAAGCGGTTTATGTGATAACTTTCGTCGCATCCCTCGTCAAGCGCATAAACCGCAGCCCACATACAGTTATATACCCAACACACAGCCACACTCGCGCTGCCATTCACACGCACCCCCGTCAGCAAAGACACAAGCAGTTGCGGCATAATTAAGTGACTCGCAGTGCAATGCAGATAAGACGATTGTTTCTTATTGGACACCGCAAATTTGCGCAGCCACAGACTTCTGACCAGCACTGTAATCTGTCACACAGTTTCATGTGTTCAACACGGAAATTTGCTGCTGTTTGCATAATAATAATAACGGTAATAATGGCACATGGTTCATAATTCCACATATGTGCGGCTCTCGGCATCTAAGCGTAATTCAATTTGCATATATTGCCTCAATTATAACTCGGACTTATTTGATTTGCAACCAGCCGAATATAAGCCGATATTTGCTGATTGACGTTCAGCAAGAGATTAAAGTAGATTTATTGATTTCTATCGATGTTACAGAATGTCAATGGCATTTTAACAAGTAGAGAAGTACAATAAAAATATAAGTTAATACCTAACAAAAACACTGTAGCAAATACAAATTTGAAGCACTTGATATGCAATTAAGTCCATGGCTACCAAATAAGAGCATTAGAAAAAGAAATTGTTATAAAATAAGAACCGTTTGGCCATATGTTAAAGCTACATTTTTGCCATTGTGCGTATAATGTATGTCTACACTTATTATGTGTTTATATAATAGAAAATCAATCAAATTTAAGCTTCAGAAGAAGGAAGGTTTTTAAGCTTAAATTTAACCTGAATACGATCAAGGTAATATTACATCACTATCGTGACGTTTTTAACGATATTTAACCCTAAGCACATGTTGAGCGCTCATTCTGAACTTAGTCAAACCCAGAGCCAATCGTTTCTTCTTCACAACTTGCATCGTTGTAGCGTAAAGGTTTTCAATTAAGTTTATAATTGAATGACAAATTGCATCAAATTTGCATATTATCGATAACTTAAATAGCTGCTAAAATACGGCTATCGAAAAAAAGTATCCTTTCTATTTGGTCACCCAAGTCATTTAAATTTTTATATTAAAATTGCACAAAATTTATATTTTGAATCTTTGGAAAGCAACAAATTTGTTAAATTCATATTTCTAATATCAACTACATATGTAATTATTATGTGTATAATAATCATTATCGTCATTATTGATCAATGTGCAGGAGCCTAAAGACTTCTTTACAATGTGATTTTTTACTCTAGAAAGTATGGCTTTTAGCTAAAGATACATTAGTTTAGAAAATTTAATTTTGAAAAGTTCAATTTTAGTTTATTTTTATGTGCCAAATTAGTTGTAGTATTTATTATTAAATATATTATGAAATTGAAAAACAATATATCCCATAAATGTTTCAAAATTAAAAGATTAAATTGTATCTGCAAACTTATGTAATTTGTATTTGAAGGAAAATATGTGGTCAATTTTCGTAGCTCAACACGTAACTCGCATTGTGTATGCGCCCTGTTGACCCGTTTAAACCAACCGCACACACACACACACACACACATGTATATAAGTCGACACACGCACACAGATACATTTGGCCATTAAATCACACTTTGCACCTCATATCAAGCGACGCTGACTTTGGACGCAGTCCGATTAGACGTCGCCGCTCGGCTTTGCCATTGCCTTCATTTGTGCATGTGTGTACGTGTGTGTGCGCGCGTGTGTGTGTGGCAGCTGAAAATCAGAAAACCGCTCGCACTTAACAATCGTTAAGTTCACGTGGCCCCTGCCATCCATAGTACTGCTGGATACATGTGCAGTGCCACAATAAATTCACAAGCCAAAAAAGGAAAGCAAGAAGCGAGAGAGAGAGAAACAAAGAGAGAAGGAGAAAGAGTGGGGAGAGAGCCAGAGAGAGACACACACTTCCGAACAACACAGACATTTATTACAGTAATTGAAATTATTGCACATTTTGCGTTTGCCAAGGCGGAACGAAGGAGGGACAAAGAAGGAATGGCGAAAGGCAGAGGCGGCGGCGGCGGCAGCGGCAGAGGCAGCGGCAGCGGCAAACAGAAGCAAAGTCGAAGGCTCGTCCTCTTGCTGCTGCCTGCTGTGCGATTTTAGCTTGTTAAATGCATTTTTATATGGCTGCCACGCCTTCAGCTGCCGAGGGCAGCCTGTTAATGGGGGCGAGGGGGCGTGTGCTGCACTTCTCTTCGTTTATTTTATGTGCAATAAAATTAACATATACAGACATTTTGTGATAAATTACCGCATCACGTGATGTGCCTGGAAACGACTGTAAAAATATGTTGAATGACTGCGACTGATGCAACTGCAACTACCACTGCAAAAGCAACTGCAATGGCAACGGCAACTGCAACTGTAACATTTAATTTGAATCTTTTTCCTGGCCGCATTAAAAGTGAAATTGAGATTACAGCAAAAGTTCTCAACTGGCATTTAAGTGCCACAAGACGCATGCCACACCATCGACCGACGGACGACAGCCGCTGACTGATGCCACCGCCGCACAATGCATTCATTTAAATTTGTGCAACGCGGCGTATGCGCGATGCGTCGTTTTGTCTTAAAAGTCGAACAGCTTTTAACTGCTTTACAAACGTTTTGTGTGCACCTTTGATGCGATTGCTTGCAGAAGCTAATTACAGTTTACGTTTGCTGCTCTATGGCATTTATAATTAATTCTTGTGGCTAATATTTAAGCCAACTAACTTGTCAATTAATAAATTCGACTCGAGGTTCTAGACTAGTTTTTAATGGATTTCAATATTTAAATTATAATAATAATAATATTATAATAATACAATAATAAAATATTTATTATCTTCTATCTACCCATTTGAAGATCTGAATTATATCAACTTGAAAACAATTAATACATATGCTTCTAATTAAAAAAATATTAGGAAAATACTTAATCAAATAAAGCTCACATAGTAATCTTTTTACTTTACTCAACTGGAGATCAGAAATAGAGAAGAAATGTGATATGTTTATATAAATATTTAATAAAAAAATGTTAGTATTTACTAACCAATTTTGAGTTAGGAATGGACAGGTCAAATAATAAAAAAAAGTAAATAATAAAAATGAATATAAAATAATAAATATGAATATAAAATAATAATAAAAAAAAAAATAAATATGAATATAAAATAATAAAACCGCCAAATGATTCCTTAGACAGAGATGCATAATAAGATGTTATTATTTTTTTAAAAAGAAAAAATTATATTTTTATTTTTTTTATAAGTAGTTTCGACGCTAAAATGTTGTTTACAAATTCTTTTTTTGCTCCAAGCAAATCGATATTTAATTTGTTTTTGTGTTATATATATAGAGTTTATTTTAAAAAACAGTTCACTGAAAGTGAACTTGAATTTACTAGAAAAAACATGTGTAATTAAGCCCTATTTCATTCACTTTCAGCAAAAGTAAGCCAATAAGTTTGATGGCTTTGATAATGTTTGCTTGATTATTTAGGTCAAGCCGTAATTTATAGATAGCTCAACTATTAACAGCAGAGAGACAGATACGAATGCCAGTAAAATAGTTCAGCGCCGCTTAACAGAAGGTCAAATCATTGACCTTACGGCAGTCACAGCTAAGTTGAATAAATCTCAAATAAATTAAAAATTTTGTTGAAAAATTGCAATATCTAAATTGTAAATTGTTTCGACTAGGGCTGCATCAGAGATAAGCACTTATAGTATTTATATATATACACACAAACACATATTATATAGATATATAAATTTATTCATATATAGCAATATATATACACCTACATATTTATTTAACGAACTAGTTACGTAGCTAATTAAAAACGCTTTGTTTTGTCTAATTTATTTCTCTATTTTCCTTTTAACTAGCTTTTGTTTAACTTAGTTTAGATTTAGCTGTTGTTGTAATTGTTGTTCTTGTTGCTTTCCTGTTACATGTTGCCCAGTTTGTGCTGCTTTAGATTACGCACGTTTTGTTGTGTGTCTACAAAAGAAGAGCAGAGCTCTAGTGGCACGCCTCCTCCTCCTGCGCCTTCTTCCACACATACACCCACCGCAGCCACCCCTCTCTCAGGTAAATATTTAAATTATTTATGTGCCATTTTGAGGTGTGCAAACACAACGAGTGGGCGATGGGCTGTTGCTGTTGCTGCTGCTGCTGCTGCTGCTGCCGTAGCCAAAAGGTATGTTTGCTCATTTAACGGCATTTAATTGCATAATTTTTGGGGCTTCGCTCAAATTAATTAGCCAAACTCAGTTCGGGGGCGGCGTTTACTATTCATATTCAATTTAGCCAACGCCCGCAGCAGCCGCAACTCAACAGACTCAAGGTCATAGTCAAAAAACCAACTACCACATTTAACAGTTGTAACAACAAAGATTCGAGCCACGATGAAGAACAGAGGTAACTTCGATTCAAACACATTTTCACACTTGGCTACATTTAATTAAAGTTTTTCAATTGTCTGTGCGTGTGCGTGGGTGTATGTGTGTGTGTGTGTGTGTGTGTGTGTGGGTGTGCTGTCTTCGCTATACAGTTTCTTTAGCATGCGGGCTGCCAATTTGGTAAAGCATACAAGTCGAGGCGCTTGCAAGTTTTCTTGGCCTTCAACTGTGCCATAAATAAAATGCAATAAGCGCCACATCCACATCCAGCTCGCCCCTCCTTTGACACGACTCTTCCCGCGCCCCAAAGCAACGTGAAAAGCGTTTTCAATAAATTTTCTTATACCACAGGGCATGCAGCTGCATACAAGTGTCCATGTGTGTGTGCGGGTGTGCGAGTGTGTGTTACACATTTCACATTTCAATTCACAAATTCTCGTTTTTTACTCCCGTTGCCTCGGCATGTGTGTTGCCTACTTTTAGGCAGCCATTGAATTGCATTGCCTTAATATGGGTTTTATATGCAAAAAAGCTAGTACTTTACCCTCAATGGGCCTCACTTGCATACATATTTACATACATACATATATCTATAGGGAGCAGCTCGTACATAAATATATTAAAAGCCTAATTTATTGGCTGACTGACATGCAAAGCAGCCATAAATAAATGTTGATAGCGAATTCCTGATGTTTCTTATTACATTTGCCGACTCGACTCAGCGCAGTGCATCGAAATTTATATTAATTAAATATATATTTAATTTTAATTCACATTGCACTCAGAAAATCAAATAACTGTAAACTGATCCAAAAACATAATTAACTGACCACAATAAGTTAATCAACTAAAATCTCTAGTTCGGTTTACTTCTATATATATATATATATATATATATATATATATATATATATATATATATATATATATATATATATATATATATATATAAGATTTCAAGCAGACACATCTATATATATGTAAATAATTATATATGTAACAAATTTATATTTTATATACATACATCAAAAATGTTTCAATATAGTTATAACTATAGTCACCAAATGTTATCTTCACATATTTCCAGAGCGCAAGTCGGAATTTCTCAAGCATTGTAAAATTCTTTTCATACATTCACTGAATGTAAAATAATTTCTAATTAAATGGCAATATTCATAAAATATTTAAGCAGCTTAATATTATCAAAATCTTAAATAGCTGCTGAAATATGTTTATTTCAAATGGTATCACTCTTGTGTGGTCATCCTATATTTGCTGCCATAGAAATCACACATACTCCACTCTTTCCACTATTTTCGTTATATATAAATTTACAACTTGTGTCATTTATGCATGCTTTAAATCTCCTTTCAGAGCAGAAAATATAAAGCCAAATATTAAAATTTCAAGTTAGAAGTCAAAGAAAGAAATAATTATTAATGCCACAATTGTTGAAAGCAAAAGAATAAGCAACAGTTGAAAGCAACAAAATTTAGTTACATTTAGTAAATAAAGCATTTTAATTTAATTTTAATTTACTTTGTTGACAATTTTGTAACTTGGTTAATCGAAATGCAAAATAAGATTAAATAACATTTTTTTTATTCTAAAAAAAATCTTGAAAAAGAGAAGCAGTAATTTCAGATAGTTCAACTACATTAGGTATAAAAAAAAATAATATTATTCTGCTCTTAAAGCAGCTTTCCGCGTCTAAAGTACTTTGGAAATTAAGCTGCTATTGTAGTCTCAGATTCAGATTAAGGACGCCAAAATTGTGATTACTAAATGCTGTGGGTCTAGGTAAATCATTTTCATAAATATATATATCTTCTAGAGAGACTGTGCTATAAGCAAATTATAATTATATTTTAATTATAATTAGAATTTAAGTTTCTAATTTATCTTAATATAGCTTTTTATTCATATTAAAATAATGCATAAAAACTTGAATGAGATCAAACAAATTAAATAATATACATATAAAAATTAAATAATATATATACAGCACTGTTCATAAAAATAGTAGTGCAACTGAGCGCTAAATCTTCAACGACGAAATTTAATAATATATATAGTGCATATATTACAAATATATTTGTTGAAATTTAAATACTCTGACTTTTTTAATTTTCGAGATTCAGCCTCTACCTCTATATAAATGGCAACGATATATGTAAGCTCCTCTTCTGCCCAATGGGATTGTAGAAATGAAAAGCTGTACGTAAGAATTGTACTTACTTGTGCCAGAACATGTTACCAGCCAGCAGCGGCATCTCCATGAGCAGCGCGGAGAGCAGCGAGCTCTTGCCGCTGCCTGTCTTGCCCACAATGATGGTCAGCTTGCCCTTGGGTATGGCCATTTCCTGAATGTGTAGCTGGACATTGGGCAAGCGGCACTGCGGCTGCCAGGTGAAGAGCCCGTCGTTGATGGACACGGCTATGTCGTCGGGCATTTTTAGCAGCAAAGAATCGCGCCGCCAGCTGTCTGTGTTCCGAGCGCGCACCACTGAGAACTCTACGGGCCTGTCGGCGGTGCCGCCAAACAGCTTGGGTGGTCGTATGGCCACGTAGGGCGTGTTGCGCAACAGTTCCTTGCGATGCTGCACGAGCTTCTGGTGGCCCAATTCGTGGGCGTACAAAGCCGGCGACTTGTCCTCAGCGGACTCGCCATTGCTCGACAACAGCGGCGTAATGGGCTCCGACTGAGCCAGGGGCGCCGGCGTTTGTAGTTCCTCGGGTATGCGAATGCGCAGCGCCTGTCGCTGCTCGTTCAGGCGATTCTCCACTTGAGCTGTGCGCAGCGCCATGTTGGACTTCTCCTGCGTCTCGTACATATCCAGCGAGGCATCGCTTTTACTCAAGATGCGCGCCATATTCCGAATGCCCTCGAACTGCTTTTGAATCTCGGGTGCGTGCAGAAAGCGCTCCAGCCGCCGCGTGGACACCCTGGCCGCAATGATAATGGGCACAGTTATGGGGAAGATCAGCAGCGGCACAGTCAGCTGCTGAAACAGCGCCAGCGCAGCAAACAGATGGCTCGCATCGAAATTCGTGCGCGACTCGTCCGGCAGATAGACATAGACAGCCAGAGTCACAAATGTGATTAGCACGGTGCAGATGTGGGTCAAAATGGCTGCAAATAGAGCAGAGATAAGTCTCTATGCTCTATGGAGTTGTCTATGTGTTTATTCAATGGTCACTCACTCATTAGAGTCCAGTACATGGCGTCCTTCTTCAGATACTTGAGCTCCTTTTGGCGTGCCGCTTGAATTTTTCTGAGAAACACCTCGTCCCAGGCATTCAGCTTGATTATCTTAATGCCTATTAAGGTGTCATGGATTTTCTTTAAACGCTCATCGGTGAATTTCTGCAAAGAGAATTATAAATAATATGTGAACTAGATGAATATATATAACAAAGTTCAAGTCCCATATAGACAGACAGACGGACTGTATACATTTACTTCTTGAAATACTTGACTTTATCTTAAAGATACTCCTACGTTAAAAACTTATTTAATACATGTAAGATTGCTCTAGTAGGGACTGCCCGAATCGAATAGGAGATACCCTGACCCATGTGACTATATTCCAATCACTTATTCTTCTTTACTATTACAAATTAAATTACTAAATAGATCCTCTTAATTAATAATTTACATAGCCTGATAAAGTCAATCTTAGTGTGCATTTGCCAAAGCACAAGTTCCTAGTCTCCATTATTACTATTATAACTATTATTATAATTATTATTATTAATATTAATATTATTATTATTATTATTATTATTATTATTATTTTTATTATTATTATTATTATTATTATAATTATTATTATTATTATTATTATTTTTATTATTATTTTTATTATTATTATTATTATTATTATTATTATTATTATTATTATTAATTTTTTTTTTTTTTTTAGTTGCTGTTTTTATTTGCAACTTGTCGTATACTAGACAATAAACAAATTTGTGAACAAAAATATTACGTAACTGGATAGCTTGGTCTTTAATGAGCTCAATCCATATATTTACCTACTTTACATATTTATCTATTTCTGTGGGGCATGTCTAGGACATGAAATCTTTTGAGTCGCCTGTGGTTGCTTGAGTCATCCACTCTTAGAGCTAGAGCATTCTCGTGGTTATGTAGTTTATTCATGTATCTGTTTACATATAGTTGTATTTCTTCTTTAACAAGAGGCACCTCAACATCTTTGTGGATATTAGAATTAGTCACATACCAGTGTGCACATGTAATCATTCTAAGAGGCTTGTTCTGGTTTCGCTGTATTTGATATACATTTTGTAGCAATTTTCTGGGCCTTCAAAATTCATATTCACATTCAAAAATCATATTCATTACAAAGAGCTGTATTCAAGTTTCGCTTTAAAAGGGAAATCAACTAATCGATTTTTATAGATAATAAGTAAAAGGGATGAGTTATCAAAATTAAATTGATAAACTTATACTGCATATGGTATTTAAGAACATAACACTTAACATGAAGTCCCTATCTGGTATCCTTGTGTTGATACGAACAGAAAGTATTAGAGCCGAACATGGCTCAGATTATACAAGATTATATAAGCTTTATAATGTCTGCCACGCCTCTATCTGCCAGTTACATACATTTTAACAAAAGCATAATACCCTGAGTTCCAAGCCAGCGGCTTATAGCAGCCCAAACTTGTATTGGCCACAAATAATTGTAGAAGGTCTCAGCAAAAGCCGAAAATCAATTAAGTGAAGCTGACCAACCGGCAATTACTTTAAATTGACCACAAATCTGTTAACAAGAAACTCTTTAATGAGCCACCAGCAACAGCTCGACCAGACTGCCAAGCCCACAAAGACAATACAAATTCTGAGCTGCAAATGACAAAATAATAGCAGGCAAATGGCAAACAAGCGCTGGCCAGCCAAACGAATCGTAAGGCTCCTGTTCTGGCGTATCCTGACGTATCCTGGCGCATGCTGAAATTAATTTTGTTCATTGTTGCTCGCTCTCTAATGAAATTGTCCTTTTGTCGCACTCGAGCATGGCTTTGGCTACATTCTTCGACTTACCGCTATCCTTTCCTCATTCCTCGACATGGCTCGCCCGATGAGGAACTGCAACGGTGTCATAATGACAATGCACACAATGGCACCAATCACCGCACTTATGCCCAGCTTCAGATACAGCAAGTAGATGACCAGGGCTATCTGCAAAGAAAATGCGAAGCTTATGAATGAATTTGCTATTTCAGACTTCAATTCATTTGCGTATGCAAATCGTGCTGCCAGTGCAATATTGTCTCCCCAGCAGATAATTATGATGTGGCTACGTTATTTGGCCAATCAACATGAACCTGCATGATGAACTTCGTAATGAAGCTGAGCACAATAGAATTATTGTGCTCAAATATTATTGTCAAGAATTTCCATTGAAAGCGAGCCAAAGATGAGGCGAAAACTTCTTATTTATTTAATGAATATATTAATTTTTGATTTTAAGCTAAATAACATTATAAATTGTTGATATAACATAGACGTAAATATTTTGAATAATGCTAAGCAAATTTCAGCTTCATATCTGTCAATCACTCAAGCAAGCAGAGTCAGTCTACAATATCATATCCCTAAGAATCATCAGTCACGCGTTCAATCAGTCTTGAAATCAAATGAAACTGGTATATAAATACATATAGAGAATCATTACTGCATGCAATAATATACCACAACTGACAGGCATCAATCAATCAATCAATAAATCAATTAGTCTTTCAGTCAAATCAAATCATTAAATACACATATGTATACCAGAGAAATATTATTATATAATATTATATTATATAATAATAACAAGTCAAAAACTAAGTCGATTTTTATTCAATCAATCAATCAATCAGAATAACGTACAATAAGAATCCATTTCTATCTTGATCACTAATCAATACCCCAGACAATCAATCAGAATCAGAATTCAAAATATATCAGAAGAGAAATATTAATACATTACAATATTATTAATATTTTAAATAATATAATATATTATAAATTGTTAAATATATATTATATATTAATATTTTAAATAATATAATATATTATAAATTGTTAAATATATATTATATATTATTCTATAATAATCATCAGTCAATGTATCCAAAAACAAATCAATCAGTCAGTAAAAATCAACTTTTATACGAGACGAAATATCATAAATCAATCAGCTATATAAATATTTACCAGTTAGATTAAAATTAGAGAAATATTTCGACTTACATGAATCTCTAAGCTAATAAAACCTTGTATACATGTAAACCTAAATGTACTTATATAAGGCGATCTATTAATAAGCCAATCAATTTGTCAATCCACTAGACAGTCAAACAGCTAAATCTTATAGTATTATATATCTTAGTTCAGTGTCAATCACACAGTTATTCAATCTGTAAATTATACTGTCAGTCAATCAACTAAGCACTTAGTCAATCTATCAGTCTATCTAACTAACTAAATATAATATATAACTGCACGTCTAAGGTGAGTATCAACCAATCAATCAGTCCATCAGTCAGTTACTTAAACAGTTAGCTAATTAGTCAATCTATCAATAAATCAGTCAATCACGCAGTCCGTCAATCAGTTTATATACTTCTATAAGAAAGATCCCATATCTAAATTAAGCATCAATCAGTCTTACAATCAAGTAGTCATCTTACGATATATATTATATATACTATTATTATTTATTTAAATTCTGTATGAATCATTCAGTCAATCACTCAATAAGTCAATCAGTCAAAGCAAATAGTTAAATATATAATATTATATTTAATACAAATATGTACCCTAGAGACATATACTGATTAATATATATCGTATTCTCTATCTAAATTGAGCATCAATCAGTCTGGCAATCATTCAGTCAGTCACTCAATGAAATATGTAAACAAATATATACACTAGAGAAATATTCCTATATAATATGTACTGATCCCTATCTAAATTGAGCATCAATCAGTCAATCAATGAGTCTTATAGCACCATCACTATCACAGTAATATGGCATATCTGAACAACATTGCACTGCTGATGATGTAAATGAAGTGGCTAGCCAACCCAGCTGCATGTATTTCGGGTACATTACGAGCAGGGGACTCACTCACGGGCGCTCATGCCAGCAACTGCTACTTAAATGTTAATTAATTTTTTACACAATATAAACATGTTGCGAAATACGATGCGCCTGCCCGGCAAATCCGATTCGGCCTGCATACAAACGAGTAAATTATAATGCAGCTGCTGCCAGGACTGTCACAGCCAGCCACAAATCCTAAGCCTGGGAGCTAACGACGAGCAACAGTCGCCCAAACATTTACAAATCAATTCGTTCTGAGACAGGATTCATGCATGAACTGGAACTGGTAGCTGGCAACTGGCAACTGGCAGAGTAAATACAACCTGCTAGCTAATTATGCCAAATTTCACACACACACACACACACAGACAGACAGATTTAATACGCATTAATTATGCATGATTGTGTGTGTGTTTGGCTTAATCATTAACCAGTTTGCTCAGTTACATAAAAATACCCATTGGATGGTCGTTTGTAGACCAAAGCCAAAGGGCAAACATTTGCACAACGCCTTGCGAAACACATTTAAATGCCAAACGCAAATACAATTTGCCTGCACTGCATAAGAAATTGCACGAAACTAGATACAAATCAAATGCAATTTATAGACAGGCAAATAAATCTGGGCGCACGATTAAAATTGTCCAAGTCCGAGTCAAGACAAGTGTTATAAATAAGCCCTGTGCTAAATGCGACCAGAAAAACAAAGGCTAGTGAAGGCATTGTAAGCGGATGTAGTCGACTGCCAAATTCCCGTTCAGGTTGCACAATTTAATGAGTTAATTTTAGAATTTAAGAGTCAATCTATAGAGTATTTTAGTTGTGTTTAGTCTGGATGAGCCTAGCTTAGAAACTGAGGAAAATATGGTTTTCTCAGTCTATTGAAAAGGTTAATAACTAATTTGACTAATTTTCAGACTGCAAACTCTAAAAATATATAAATAAATAAAATATATAAATATAAAGCTTAGTCAAACTGTAGTCTGTTAAAAGACATTAAAGGATTATTCAAAGATCAAAAATCTAGCTGCAGAAATTTAGTAGTTTCTCGGTTTTGTTTCATTTTCAGTGGGCATAACAATATAATTTATATTTATATTTTATCTGTTGAAACACGAATATATGTTTATGGAATAAAGGAAAATGAATATTAACTGCAAGTTATCAGGAAAGCGCTCCCTTCACTTGCTTCCTCAATGTTAAATATTTTATATATCATTCGAGTTATATTTCTAAAATTATTATTTTTTTTGGAATCTAGTTTATTTTTTGTAAAATAAGATAATATAAAATTAATAAAAAAATTAATTATTACAGGTAATATTTTTACAATTATTATTTCAGATAATATTTTTTAAAACAAATTAGAAACAACTTTTCATCAAATAGCGCAATCAGCCATAATTTCATTTATTTCAGTATTTTCGAATTCGGTTTCAATACTTGCATATTTAATATTAATTTATTAATATTAATGAAAATTCCAACAATTAGATTTCAAATGTAATTGTAAATACTTTTAGTATATATTAATAAAATTTAGACTTAGTTTAATTTTATATTTAATTGTTTCTCGGAAACGAACATATTCATTAGCAACCGTTCTATATATCTCTCAAATATCTAGCTTCACGAACAGAAAAATGCTCTAAAGACAAACAGACACACAAAAGAAAAGACAACTCAAAAAATATTACATAAAAACAATATACTCTCTTCGAATCATAGGCGAGCATCTAAAATGGCACACAAGTTGCTCGTAAATTAGCACAGTTTTTGATACGAACCTTGAATGGTATAGCCCAGGCATAGTGAGCGATCCAAAAGAATTGCATTATATTAAGTGTATCCTCCGTCATGTGATTCGTGATGGCACCGACGTCGCCGAGGCCTGTGCGAAGCAATATCAATAAATAAATAACAAATCACATTAATTGTTAGTTAAGGTCAAAAATAAAACAGTAAACAGAATAAGGGAGGCATTTCAACAATAGTCTTTAAATAAATATATTCTATATAAATTACTTTTTTGCCTACAGTTTTTTATAAATTTCTGATATTTTGAGACACTTAATTTTATTTGTAATTGAAATTTAAGCTGTTTTCAATAAACAAATATTAATCATTGAGCTTTTAAAAATTGGTAAATTTAAAATGTTTTGATAAAAAACATATAAAATATTTAATGTCTCAGCATATTTTTTTAAATTGAGGAGAATAACTAAACTCAATTTTTATCTATTTTTAATGAGATTCTTTTTGCAATTTTTATGAGATTTTATTTGATCAATTTTAAGCAACTGTAATTTTAAATTTGTATGTTGCTTTTATATATTAAATGGTATTAAGTTTATTATTTATTTCAATAGAATTTTTTATAAAGCAAATAAAAAAATATATAATGCTAAATAGTAATAATAATAATAGTTACTATTTAACTAAAAATTTTTTCTAACAGCTCGCAATTGCTCATTATATTTATTTTTTATCATGAAATGTTTATATGAAAATTTTTTTATAATTAGCTTATCAACTTTTAAATAAATGCTTTAATAATGTGTATTCCTTTACTTTTAAAATATTTAAAAAATATATTTAATTTGAGATTTGTAAATTCGAAACCTTTCATATTAATAATTTTTTTGGATTTAAAGATTTAATACAAAAAAAAAAACATTTTTTTTAATTTCATGATATTTTAAAGTTAACTTCAAGAAATCACAGATTGCCTACATGCGTAAATAATTCTATATAAATTACTGAGTCTTAGTGTCATAGCCTTTCCTTACTCCTGATTATTTGCTTCATTCATTCACTAGGTAATCCTTTTTTCTAAAACTTAATTTTAATTTAATTTAGAATATCTTAAATCATATCGGGCAAAGCATTTATGCAGATGTATTTCTTTAAAGTATTTATTAAAAAGATCATCTGTGGCTTATAAAATGAATATCAACTTACTTTCTTACTGTAACTCATCTATCGAATCAACTTTATCACTCAAGCTACGAGCTTTATTCGATTAACCCCATATTTGTTGTAGTTTAAGAGACTAGCTCGGCTAAGTAAGTGCCTTAATTTTATGTTTTGCTGATTAGAAATCAATCAACTCACATTCTATATTGATGTGGCTATCTCATCTAGTTGCGTTGAGTGTAATAAAGCTAAACTCTTTTGCTGGGCGAGGCATTCGAAAAGCAATTTTTCTTTACTGGTCCCGGAATCGCAACTAAAAACAAATAGCTATTCAGTTGCCACGCCCACCTAAGCCAATTACACGAGGACAGTTGGCCAGGCTTTAGCCAGGTAGCAAACACTTCAGCCGTAAAACTTTCAATTAACACCAAACGCACATTTGCCTCTGTCAAACAGAACTTGGGCACGTATAGAGATTGTGGGAGGTGGGGGTGGGCATGGGAGGAGGGATTGTGCGCCAGGCGCTAGGAGTTGCCTGCAAAGCCAAACACTCACCGCCTGAACGCTCCGTTTGTTGTGTGTCTGCCACCTCGACAGGCTTATCATCATTGGGAGTCAACCTAATGTTTTTGCCATTTTGCTGCACATCAGCTGCGGAAGTAGTGGCCGTGGCAGAGTCGGTGGCAGTGGCTGGTTTGTCATCATCAGCGGCATTGTTGCCACAACCGCTGCTGGCATTTAGAAGCAAACTTTTGCGATAAATTAGACCCTGTAGCGATGTTTTAATCCTGATGCCCGTCATGTTGAGCACATGCGTGGAGGCCTGCGACAATGCGGCCTGCGCCAATGCGGCCAAAAGCACCAGCCAAGCAATGCTCCAGCCATTTGTTAGCAAATCCGACCATCTGGCATAGTAAATTCGCACATCACCGATGCCAATACCAATACCAATACCATCGTAGCCCCCATCATCATTGCCAACATCATAATCTTCGTAGTAAACAACATCGGCACCATCTGCGGCCGCATTAGGCCCAAACATTTGACTGCCCACAGGCCCAGCCCCCAATAGTATTGATCTATTTGCTGCGGCTGCCTGTGCGTGGACCTGTGCCTGGACTTCTTCCCGTGCCGCCGCATAGAGTCCTTCAATATACTGCACTATTTGCTGTATGGCAAGTGGACCAATCAATGCAAATAAATCACCGGCCAACTTCAAAAAGCCGCCCAGCGCAAACATGCGCCAACTGTTCTTTATATAACAATACCACAGAGAAGGCGATGCATTCGATTTTTTCTAAAAAAAAAGAGGAAGCGAGAAAAACAGAATTTGATAAATTATAAAAATATTATTATTAATATAAATTATTTAAAGTTAGTGCTCAGCTCTAGTTCAAGTGCTTTCAGACAGCAAAAATATATAGAAACTATTAATTCATAAGCAAAGACTTATATCAAGAAGGAAAAGAGAGAAAGAGACATAAGATAACAAAGAGTAAGATCAAGCTAATATAAACGACAATATCAGGTGCCTCTGCAGCTTTGCTTCTTCTTCTACTTTTAGTGCTTGCTCAGACTCTTAAGATTTAAACATAATACATAATTGAATTTACTCATAGATACTTAAAAAATTTCTTAAAGTTAACAATAGTAACTAATAGATGTTGACTGATTGATAAAGTATCTTTTTAATAACTCTATGAATGAAAATAATAAAATTGTTCTAAAGCATTGAAAACCTTTTAAGAAAAAATCTCAGTCAACATTTTTTTGAGATGTGTCTCAAGAAGGGAAACATTTAAAATAAAATTATAAAACTTTTTTTCAAAAATACATTCAGCTGAAGATGATGAATTTGAGATTAATATTACTCTACTAATATCATAATATATAATATATAATATATAATAATAATATTAATAATTATTAAATATTGCATTTTTTGCAGCTTTATATCATATATTTTATTCGATATTTTCACTCACGATATTCTCAGAATTTACACTTATTATCAACTAATTGCAAAATAAAATTCTAGTAAGTATATCAATGCTATTAATTTATGATTAACAAGCTTGCTTTCAATATAGATATTCACTTTAGATATTACGTATACGTCATGTGGCACCTATTAAGTGTAATTAATAAGCACATTAATGCCAGACGTTTAATATATCCTTTGGCTGCTCCGTTCGTTGGCATTTTATAATAATTTACACAGTCAGTTGCCATTTTGTCATTAAAAATTGCGCGCAAAATGCGGCAAATAAATTAACATTTTTAAAAAACAAACCAAGACGATTCAAGATTGGTCTATGTACCAGCTGGCAAATACCCTGTTAAAGTTGCATATATGAAATGTGGATATGAAGTTTATCTTATGGAATTGATATTTAATGATTAATATAATAAATAATATATGGATATATACATATACGTATTTAAAAAAGATTTACTTATAGATTTATATAGATACATAAAGGTAGCTGTGTTTGATTGACTGAGGCATCACTAATTCAGTAAAAATTATATTAAATGATTGAAAATCCAAAGGAAAATTAAAAAATGCTTTTGACACTTCAGAAAACTGTTTGATAAATTAGTTTAAAAACATTTTTTCGAGTGTATTTGTCTTCAAGTTTCGGGATAACCATCTTCTCTCTTCCTTATCTTTTCTTTCTTTGTATTTATGCCTTTTTCTTTTCTTCTTTTTCTTCTCTCTGCTCTAGTCTGTCTTCTCTCTTCTTCTATCTTCTCTTTTTTATCTTCTTCTGTCATCTCCCTTCTACCCTCTGTCTTTTGTGGCTTATTTTTTATTTTTTGTCTTCTTACTTCTTTCTTCTATTTGCTCTCTTCTTTCTTCTTTATATGTTTTTCTCTTATCTCTCACTTCTTTCTACCTTTTATCTCTTCTATGTCATCTATGTTCTCTCTTGTCACTTGTTTCTTGTCTCTCGTAATTGTTCTGTCCTGTCTTCTCTATACGCCTTTGCTCACCTCTTTTCTCTTTTCTGCCTTTTATTATTCTCTGTTCCCCTCACAATATCCTTTTATAATACTTTCCTTGATCTTCTGTTTCAATTATGTCCTCTATTTTCTCTGATCTCTTATACGTCCTCTCATCTCCATTGTTCCCTCTCCATTCTTCTCTCTTCTCTTCTCTCTTCCATTCTTCTTGTAATTTTAAGACAAATTTTCGCCTTCAGTGTGTTACTGCTCCAGACCAGACTACCTTTTGCGAACTCTTGCCATTACAGGGTATGTCTGAAGCAAGCTGACAAAGGCCACACTTTCACTTTGTTATCAAGCAAATGGCCACATCTCTGGCCCATCGCGTGATATATTCAAATATGTGCGCAAAGGTATATATATATTTTATTTGCATTGATAATTTATTGCCTTTGGCCAACGGCGGCATTGCATTTAAATAAATAATTAAGCAATTTGCTTGTTGTGCTTTTTGCAAATGAAATACAATATTTTCTTAATGGAAATTCTGCAGAGCCGGCTGGCCAGGCCGAGCCGGAAAGAAGACTCAATTGTAACCGGGTTTTTTTTTGGCCAGTCGCATTTAATTATTTATTTATTTTTTCTTCTGCTCTTTTTGTCTTTTTGTTAATGTGTAATTTTTAATTAAATGACAGTCAATGAGCACAGTTGTCGCTTAATGCCCTTTTATATAGGTTATTATCACAATATTTAAGTGCAAAGACTTACGAGGATGCGTGAGCATATAAATGAATGAAATATGCATATCCTTCAATTGTGTCATATTTATAAATATATTACACTGCACAACAAAGTTTCTGATCACGAATTACTCTTTGCGCAATTCGTTTTATCTTCCTATGACTCAATTTCAATTAATTTTACCTTTTGTCCTTCAACTCTGTCTCTCTCTCTATCTAGCCTTAAACTAAAATCTTTGGTTTCAGGTTCAGTTAAGAAAATATTTTTATTTTCCAATTTCAAAATTAAAGATCGATAACTAAAATTGTGAAAATTTATTGCAGAATTCTGAACACTAGCTGCTGTTTTTGCAACCTCTTTTATTTATTTATTTTTTATACAGCCTTAAAAACAGGAAATTTTGATAGCTCGACCACAATTATCTCATTCTCCAAATTAGGAGAAGCTGAGGAAAAACAATTTGCAAATTAAAACAATTTTTTAGTCCTTTCATAAAACTTTATCCTATTGCATCAAATAAGTTTATAATAACTATAAAAATTATATTTAAAATTTTATAGAGCAAACCAAGTGGAATTTAATACATTTAATGAGAAAGAAAGGTTTTAAATGTTACTATATTATTAATACCAATACTTCACTGTTTATAAATTTCTGTATAAACAAACCAGTTAAAAAATAAGCGCTTGTACCCACATAATTAGTAATAATATTAATAATATTTACAAAAAATTATATTCATTTAGGTATAGCTCACCACCTCCTCCGTGTATATATACAAAAATCGATCATAGTGCGCTCTGGCGCTATCCTCCAGTCGCATGTGGCCCAGGTCTTCCAGCTCGAGCGGTTCCTTATAGCCCAGCCAGAGCAGCGAAGTTAGCCACCAGAAGCAGATCTTCGAGTAGAATGTGGCCAGCGTATGCTTATAGCCAATGCAATCGTAATCCTCCAGATAATCGTCCCGATAACGCTGCATTAGAAGAGCATATAAATATATAAGTTTCGCCAGATTTTACAGATTAGACAGCTTTTGATGAAGTTCTGAGCTTGGAGTGACAGCTCACACAACTTTGCACGCCTTTTTGTAGGCAAAAGAAGACAAAGCCAGCCCAAAACTGGACCATAACTCAGAAGCAACTTAGTAACTGGCCTTAAGTTCTGACAACGAATTTCAAGCTGCCTCTCAGTGGCTTAGTCGGCATGCAAAAAGACAAGATGGCATTTGAGAGTCTTGCTGGCATGTGTTACTGCCACTTATAATTAAGTGTATACCCATTAGGTGAGCAAATAGAGGGTATATTGCCTGACTGAACAATATTGTAAAGTAATATATAACTATACAGAAAATAAATAGGTAAATTTAAAAAAACAAATAAAAAAAATTGACAGGAGTTTTTCTAATAACATAATAATTTATTTATAATTTATTATAGCTTAGCATATATCTGAGCAGTTAAATGATATTTATGGACATTATCTCCAGCTTTTCTCCATTCCATTTGACTCTCTGCCGATGATATCTCCATATAGCACTCACTTCGTCTTCATCTCCGTTGGAATGTTGACATTTCCGTACACATCAAACATTTCAACTGTTCGACAAGTCTCCAGGGAGCTGAAGCCATAAAAGGATCGCTTTGACAAAGGAATTCTCTTTGCGTATTACTGAGTCGGAATTTCGACAGGGAATAACATGGAATATCTCATTCAATATTTAAACAATTAAACAGCCGCTAAACTATTGTTGTTCCAAGAAGTTGCACTCTTCTATCATCGTAATAATCGCTCATTATATAAAAGAGTATATTGGTTTTGTGCCTTAATGTCATAAATTGATGCCACAAACTTTAAATGTGGCACGAAACTCTCATCTTATGAAGTGTTAAGATTCTCCTAGGCGCGTGGCAAATTGTGAAATACTAACTCGAAATTAGGTACATAATCTCTCATGGACAACCCAAGATCAAAAAGATATAGTGTGTATATCTACACCCATTTGGGGCAAAGATGCAGTACTATAAAATAAACCCTTTTACAAAGAAGTTACTGCAGACTCACGCTAAAAAGTAATCAAAAGAGATTAAACTCTTTTTTGGAGCGTGCAGTCGGAGTGGCCAGAGTGCAACATTCTTACTTTGTAAAATACTCTAATGAATCAGAAATTCAAAGGCAAATAAAGTTATATAGAGAATACTCAACACAGGCACATTTAAATACATAAACATTAAAATATATATACACATTCATCATAAATAAATATTTTATATTTTATATATTTTATATTTTATATATACCCAGTATATCTCACAGAATATGCAAGTATTGGGAACATTTATTTAAAATGCAAAAGGCTTATCAAGTTATATCGGGCACTCACTGATTACAGGGTATCTCGCAGTCAGTGAGAGGTCAGTTGCAGTTGTTGCTTTTGAAGTGCAACACGATTTGCATGATGCTCAACGCCTTAGCAATGGCACTTTGGCTGGCCAGTCTAGTTGCTCTGCTTCTACTACACTTTTTGGCAGCGCCCTTTGTTGGGATGAATAGTGCTGCAGGTTGCCAGCTTTGCTGCATCTGCTGTGGCAATTGTTGTGGCATTTGTTGCACTTAGGCAAGTCTAAAGCGAGCCGTTTTTGTGGCACTCGTGGTGCGGTCAAGCTCACAACGCCTTGAAGTATGCAAACGCTTTGCCAAACTGACATAAATAAAATATTTGGCCACTGCAAAAGGATTTTGAAGAGCTGCAAATCTGCGCTTAACCTCAATTAAAATGTAAACATATTAAAATCCCAGCGCTAAGCGCATAGTCCCTGTTGCCCTCGCCCCCGCCTCGGCCGTGCTTTATGATAATCCCCTGTTAAATTAAATAAACCTTTTGCATTGTCAACGTCGGCTGAGTCCTTCACTGTCTTCTACTCCTTGACTATTTGCTCAGCTAATTTTACGCGCTCGCTCGCTGCCAAAATGCAAATGCAAATGCAAACTGCACTGAAATCCACGCCTTCACTCTTTGCCCTCTTTTCCTTCCTGCCCCAAAAACTCTCTTTCTAAATATATATATATGTATGTATGTATATAGGTATATATAAATATATATATACAATCAACCGCCTAACCCAACATCCGTTTCTAACAACAAGTAAAACAGCAACAAAAACAATAACAAGAAAATCTGCAACCGGTTTTTAATGTACTCTTCACGTTAGGGTAGCTCAGAATTGGATAATCGTATTCATTATAATTATATCATTATTATTATAATTATTATTATAATTATTTTAATTTACTATAATTAATTAATATTTATTTTAGTTTAGTATAATTTCAATGCAAAATTTAATCTCTAATATTTTATATATTTATATAACAACAAAAATATATCCTAATAAATAAATGCATAATTAACAACAAATATTACCAAAAACTATGATTGAAAATATAAAATTAATTGATTTATGAATTTTTTTTATGGAACTATTTTTTGGACTGAATTAAATTTATTCTTCAACTTATGAAATGCCTATTTATATTTTTGTAGTGTATAAAATTACTAATTAATATTTATTTTATAAATATAAATTTTTTTTATTATATTTTAAAATTGGTTCAATTAATTACATTATTTATATTTAATCTCATCTTTCTTGTTTATTTAACAATGCTGATAGCATTAAATTTAATTCAACGAAAACAAACTAAAACTAAAAAAAACCTTTACAAATATTTTTAAAATCCTGTATAAGTAAAATTAAATGAAAAAATGTTATTCTTTTTTTCATAGTTTTATTAATTAAATGATGTATTTAATAGTATTATTTTTATTTGTTTTTATATTTTATATATTTATTTTATTATTATTATATTATTAAAAAGAAAATAATTGAATATAATTTTTATATTTGTTTTATTTACTGATTGAATTATAGATTTTATTTTATTATAATATTCATAGTCGTAATTTTTTTTAATTTGTTTCCAATATTATTTAAGTTTAAAAAATTCATTTTTAGCTATATTTTTAGCCCAAAAATAAATTCCATTGACAGCGTATTCAATATTCGAACAGACCCCAGCGTAAAAGCCGTCTTAGCTGTTTGTATTTTCGGGATTGCGCTCAGCGTTGCATGGCATTATTTGCACACACCCTGGGCTCAGCTATTCTCATTTTACAAGCAGCTACCTCCCGCCCTCGCCTGCCACACCCCATCCGCCCACAAGCAAGAGCTGCCGCACACTTCCTTTATTAAAATTATGCACTGCATGGCGGCATCCAAATTAGGTTGGGTCTTCCCGTGACTCTCGTGGAGTAACAGATAAGCGGAGCACGTGAAGCGGCATTTTGTCAGTTGCCGCAGTTTCCGGCTCTTCAGAGTTTTGAGTTTGGCTAGAGGAAGGCGGAGGGGGCGTGGCGGAAAATGTTGACAAATGTCCAGCGCTCAATTGTATGCCAAAGGCTGTTGTTTTTTTGTTTTTGGTTCCCATCGTTTATGCAACGTAATTCCATTGCCTGCATTTGCTCAAAAACCCTCGCAAGGAGCATACTCAAGCATAGCATACTCAAGGGCGCACTTCATGAGAATTTACATAGTTTTTTTTTTCACCATTTGGCAGTGACAGGAGGACGGAAGGGTGCCCCAACCAAAGTTTGCCTTTCAATTGGCTTTTTAGCCTCAGCTGGCATTGATTTGATGCTCGAATATTACTCATACGACATGTGTATGAATATCTGGCAGCACAAGCGGAGGGAAACCTGTATGAGGATGGCAGCCAGCCGAATGGGACGCATGACTTTACATAAATTTACCAAAAGGAGAAATCAATAAAAAGAATATTGAATGCAACCTCAATAAATATATATTGTGTGTTAACATTGAGCCCATATTCAAGGGGTTTGTCCTTATAAATGTGAGGGTCATGCGAGAACGGATGTACCTATTTAGATTGGGGTAATCTACGCTATTTGTAGGCGAGTTTCGTATGTATGTAACGAACTCTTTGGATTGACTGATTTATTTGTGAAACAGAATCTTTAAATTAGCTACCTATTAAAAGTAGGGGCAGTGCCCTAGTTGAGCAGAAACAACATTTTGAGCTCAAGTTCTTATTGACTTTTTGTGTGAATATATTAATATTTTAAGTAAAGGCCTTAGTTGCAAGAAGTATTTCAACGAGTGGGAGTGAGAGCAAGAGATTGAGAGATTGAGAGTGACAGTAAGAGCGAGCGTATTGGGAGTGCTCGACTATGAAGTACCCTGAAATACTCTTACGCTGTTTTAAACATTCTGCCTATTCATATATATAAAAACCCTATTTTTATTTATCAAAAATTATTTTATTAAAGGTTCATAATTTTAAATTGGCAACATTAATGTATTTTCTTTTGTTAAGTTTGGCTTGACATTTCATTATGTTAGCAAATTTCAAACTTATCATGCACTGAAATGATTAATCCCAGCTTAGGTTGATTGGGTACGTAAATAAGCAGAATTGCAGCATTTGGAGTGAGAATGATAAGTTCATAAAATTCTCTATCCAGTAAAGCCTGTTTTATTGATATTAAAAATATTTTTCTAAATAAAGCGAATATTTTCTAAACACTAAAAAATTCTATAAATTTATCTATCTATATAAATGTATAAATATCTAACTATCTATCTCACTATATATTCCTAAATATTTACGCTCATCTACCTTTAAATATTTATCTACTTATATATATATTCTCTACTTATAAATATATCTTTATCAATTTTAAAATAAAAATCTGTCCATATCAATCTATCTATATCTATCAATTTATAAAGCACAACTTTCTAACATACAAATTAAATTTCTTTTGATCTTATACAAAATTGAAGTGTGATAATACAATGACACTCATAGCTTAAAGACTATTATCTATTTATTATGAATAATCAATATCTTAAAAGTGGATTAAGTTAACTATATAAAAGTACCTATAGTCAAATCTATAGCAGCTCTGGGTGACTCACTCAAGCAAACGGATAGACAAAAGAATGCAGAAGGCAAAATAGGCTTCGCAGTTGGTCGCCCTCAAAAATATATATTTAATTATTAACAAACAGACAAAGGCGCAGACTGCAGACATACAAGTCTTAATCTACTCAGCTCGTCGTTTTGATAAAGAATATATACGCTTTATGGAGTCGTTCTTCTGTTGTTCATTTCACTCTCAACGGACACTGAATACATATAAGCTATAAGACTCGCATGTGAATATTATGCATTAAGCTATAATATTAATTTCTATATACTTTAAGAAATCAAATATTCGCATTCGCCTGGTTTCGTCCTGATCAATATTAAATATCCACATTTTGGCCAAGTTTAACGCAACACACACAGACAGGGACAGGTGAACTACTTTCGGTATTCGGTTGCGTCTTCAAGTATGCAACAGCATTAGTGCATTTGGCTGCATAACAATGGTCGGGCTCAAAGTTAAGGTAGAAGTGTTCGGTGCACGGCGCCGGCTCGTTTATGGTCCACAGCAGCCAGCGGGTAAATGTATAAACAGCCGTAAGCTGCGAGCTTTATATGAAGTCCATGCTGTCTGCCCCGCGCCCACACGCCCACACGCCCACTTTCTTTGCCTTGCCAAAAAGGTAAGCAGGGCGGGCAAAAGCGCCCAATGTAACTTTAATGTTTTTATTTGCTTTGCTACTTTGGAGCGCTTATTGCGCTGTGCCTCTTTTAGTGTGTTTACTACTGCTGTTTATTGTTGTTGTTGTTGTTGTTGTTGTTGTTGTTGTTCTCTGTATATCTGTGCATTTGTGCGGCATGTTCTGTGTGTCTTGTGTGTCCTGTGTGGCAACTTTGGATTTCCGGTCTCAAGCGGAAATAATGTCAAGCATGAGAAGACACAACGACTGAAGGCAACCACGGCACGGTGCTTGCCTCTTTCTACCTCTGCTGTTTAAATATTTAACTATCTTTTGGGCAATATCATATATGCATGAATGTTAATTCGATAAGCAGGAGAGACAGAGTTACGCCAACAAATATCCGACTCTATAATTATATTGCTGCAATTAAGTCTTAACTTCTTAAAAAATGGAAATGGAAAGTCTTCGAAGTGATGTTTGCTGTACGCCTAAATTAATATAGAAATGTATTGAAAAGAATTTAAAAATGTTAAGGCGCTGCATCTGTCAGATAATCTTGTATAAATCTTTATTTTAAATGTGCATCCGGTTATATGTACGAAATGCACTTAAAAATTTAAGCTGCAGCTGTCTTATATAAGCATTTAAAAGAGCTCTAAGCGAGACTGCTCGACTAGGAGATACCCCGAAACATACGATGTGCTGATATTCTAAACAGTCTCCATTTCTTTTATGCAGACACACACACACACGCACACATAAGCGCGAACTCTGCTTACTGCGCTGCGACTGCGCTTGGACTGCACTTTTGACTTCACTAGGGGAAGTTCTTCTAAATAGCCGAAGTTAATCAAATTTTTAGAGGCACACAATCACAAGTCACAAGGAGGGAGGGACAAAGGGCCGAACACTTAAAAATTATTATAAATATGTGTTTGAAGTTTTCAGCTTTTACTGTATTCAAGCTATGCTTAAAAAATCAAAGTCAAATTATCGTTTTTTATCGATAATAAGGAAATGGAATGAGCTATTGAAAAATATTATAAATATTTACTGCATAGGACTTACAAGAATATATATGTTAAATTTATGGTGTCTAGCTTTTGTGGTTTACGAACAGACAGACATTCAGATGGACAGACGGACGATGGACACGACCAGATCGACTTGACTTGACTTGACCAGATCGACTTATCCTGCTTAATTTATAAAGTCTATCGCGCACAAAACCTTTGAGGCTTTAGAAAAAAGTTATCAGCATTTTTGAAATCAAGAACTCTGTGAACAAGTTCTATTACAGTTCGTTGTCGACCCACAGAAAGTCGCCTCTGCGCCAAGAAGACTTTGTAAAGGCTCATGCAAAACACTTAAATCTAAGAACAGACGCTAGAGTTTAAATTTTTCCAAAGAACGTTTCAATAGTATACATTTACGAGTCATAGCAGAAAGCTGGCAGAGCATCGATTCGCTGTTGTTGCAAGCTAAAAGTTAAGGCAAAAGCCAAGAGACAACTGTGGCAACTGCACATATGGTATATGAAACTATATGGTATATGAAACCTTTTCGATTAAATGGCATGCAGTTTTAATCAATTATGAAACTATAAGATTATATTAAGTCAACCCACTCAGAAAGTAAAAGTTCATGTTTCGCATGATTTCTGAGCTCTGATTTCTGATTTAAATAATTTTAGAGCTCTGTGCACTCACCTCTTTATAAATGGTAAATCCATCGAGAGCAGCCAAGCCTAATAGGCAAATCACCGTTACGCTGAGCAGTAAGGTCTCCAGCTCAAGCAGCTCCTCGTAATAGGCCACCTCGGCGAGTTCATCGATGCGCAGCAGGAAAATCAACATTTCTATGGCAATGCTGCCGTACAGAAAGTCTAGTAAATGAGAAGGGACTTGATTAATTTAACTGGCATCAAATTATCTGACCAGCAGACACACAATAACCAACACACAGAGACAGTGAGAGAGAGAGAGAGAGAGCTAGTCAGACGCACCTGTCATCTTTTTGCGCTCGAGCACACGATGATAGCACATTAGCATAATTGTCAACAGGATGGCGGCCAGGGCGTTCCACACGGTGCCAGTGCCGATGATAATCAGAACATTCAGCTCCTTGGGCGTTGAGTCAAAGAGCTGATACAGCTGCTCCGTGCTGCGCTGGGGCAGCAGACTCCTGGCCAGCTCCAAACTATTAACGGCCAGCAGCAGCAGCGAAACAGCTGCGCGCAAATTGTGAAAGGCCAGCAAAGTTTTATGGCATCTGAAACGAGAACAGGTTGCTATAGATGGGATCGGTAGGTAGGATCCACTAGGTAGTGCCAGTGGGCGCAGCATAAATAACACAATATCAACAATTTTTTGCTTTAATTAAGTGGAGTGCACGGCACAGCAAGCCAGATAGCTAAAGGACCCAGTCAGATAGGTCTCTCTATGTGTGTGTGTGTGTGTGTGTGTATTCAAGTGCTGTTTGTAATTTCCACAATTATATTCAAGTGTTTATGATACTTCTCTTTGGCTCAGTTACCACTCACACAGCCGCATGGCCCAGCCGTGCCACACGAACTCTGTCTGCTTGCTCTTGCTGCTCTCTGTGTCCTGCGACGTCTGCCTGGCCATAATCTTAAGTGTGATATATGACGGCCACTTGAGTGGCCCACTTTTTGATTGCATTGCCATGGTTTTGATTCAAAATTAGCTAACTAACTTTTAATAGCCAAGTGAGTGAAATCTGACCGCAGATTTTCTTACCAGAATGAGAAAGAGGCATCCAGTTCCCCCTCCCAGAGAACTTCTACTATATACATTTAACCTACAAAATGAAGCTCTAAGCTATGTGCTTATATTATATCCTATTCATACCCTTCAAGGTGTTTAAACACCCAAGGACAATGCTTACTATGTGCATACTCTTGAGGCGAACAGACTAAGTTTTGTTCTAAATATCTTAAGCAAATCGTCACCCAAATATGAAATAATTTAGTTATATGAAACGAATGAAAATAGCAACATTTGATCATGTTTATACATATACTGAATAGTATATAATATACAAAAAATAATAATGAAATGTTTTTTTTTAGAAAACTTTTCTGTTACACTTTTTTAAGCATTTTGAGCTATATAAACTATTTTATGTTATTACTAAAAATAATAATAATCACATTGCATAATATTAATTTTGTTGAACTATATGTATCTCATATCGCTAAGACATTATGACGTGACTTTGTAGATGATTAGCGGATTCTGATTTCCAAATTCCTAATTCTGTACCATCTTCTCGTCATTGCGTCTCACTATTGCAGTAGTATTAGTGTGAGCCTCTGTATTGTTGTAAAATTATTATCCGAGTGAGTTTGCGTGTCAGTTACTCGCTTTTCATTGGTGACTTGTCTCCTCCGAAAGAGAGAGAAAGAGAAAGATAGCTATTGCTGAAAATATTCTCGAGTGTTGCTGAGTGTGAGCGAGATAACTACTTAGGTCATTCGGACAGCGTCAGTACGAATATCTGTGAACGAAGAGAAGCGACTAGAAATTGCCATACTGTAACAGTAAATTGCGAGAGACAGCACAGTGGGATTTGTTATTGCGCGCAGTTGTAAAAGACATCAATTTAAACGGAATGTGACCAAATTGACGCAAACGAGCTATATTTTCCAGCTCAGGGCTCATCAAATGGAGCCTAAATGAGTTCGAGTTCACTTTTACAGATGCTTTGCATTCAAGTTACACTTAGAATATGTATTCCGTTCGCTCAACATGTGAATCATCAGATCACTTAAAAATATGAGGTTAATTTACAATTAATTATCTAATTACTTCTGATTGGCATGCTCATGGTTTGCTGATTTAAGGAATTGTCACACCTGCACTTAAGGACTTGTTGTATGGTATCGCGTGGCATACTCCAATTATCAAAGTTGACTGAAAAGTTCTCAAGATTCAAAAAGTTATAAGCCTCCAAGAAGCGGACTACATAAACCGTCTAAAAACCCCTCCCCAGCAAATCAACGAGGCATAAAGATAGGAATCAGGATGGCAAGAAAAGGAGCAATCCCTATGGGCAATTAATAACAAACTTAATATTAATCGACTTTTTATTTGATACAGCTTATTGTCCTACGACTCTCCAGCGCAGGTTGCTTTAAACCTTTACTAGTTTGCTTTAAAACTAAAAAGTGAAACCTGCATTTGGACTATATTTAATATCTATATATCTATGGCCAAGTAAATGATATAGCGCACTCTACAAAATTTGCTTCCTCTTCGCTGGGTATTTTTGTTTTTTTTTTTTTGCTTCCTGCTCACTCGAAATATATTTAATGATGTGCAAAAATGTGGCATACTTTTTGGCTGCACAACGTGAACATTTACACGTTTGCACATGGCTGAGAAAAAAGCGCAACTAACTGGCGGAGAGCGGGGGCCCGTAGAAGTAGAGGCGGCTAGAGGGGGGCTTAGAGGGAGGCTGGCGCACAGTTAACCTGCGTCCGCAATGCCGTTGAAATATTATTTATTGCGAATACATTGTTGCATATACCATTTGGCGCAGAGGCGTGCCCAGTGCAAGGAAGCAAGCACATGCATACAGAGTAAGAAAGAGAGAGAGAGAGAGAGAGAGAGAGACAGGGAGAGCGAGGGTAGTTCTTTTTGGGATTTCCCTTGCATTTGTGGCTTGATTTTAATTTTTTAGCGCGTCGCCAATTTTTGAAAGTTTTTTTATTACTATTTTTTTAGGCATTTTATTTATTGTGTTCACAGACAGTCTATAAATTTAATGAAAAATGCCTGGCTTGACAGGCAGACAGCCAGCCAGTCAGCCAGACAGACGACTCTTACATATTAATTACATTTTTGACCGCTCTAAAAGTGCATAAATAATTGATTTCAATTTTTTTGGATAACAATTTTTGTTTTTCCTTTATTCGCAGAGCAATGTGCAGCTGAATGCAGTATGCAAAAGAAAGTAATAAAAAATGCAGAGCTATTCGAAATTGTTTACAACATTTTTGTTGATTTGCATTGTTCCCATTTTCGCTTCGCCCCGACTCAGGTGCAACATTTTTTATTGATGGCAAAGTTTGTTGTTTTTTTTTTTTTATTTCAGCTTGTTGTATGTAGCATTTGCAAATTAATAGTCGTTGATTGAAAAATTTGAACAGTTTCTATAATTTGTATATGTTGACTATGTAGCTCATATTTACGTACACCTGTATACCTGCACATCTGCACACCTGTATGTGCAGCACTTTGCTGGTCAAACATTTTTTGCACCTGCACAATTGATAAATGATAAATGATATATGATGAAATTTTAATTATTTTAGCCAGCCAGCCTCCCGGCCAGCCAGCCGACCTAATTGAAAATTTCCTTTTATCTAAAATAACGTTAGATGATGGACAATTTGCTGCTTTGCTGCAAAACAACAAACGAATAATAAATTAATTTCTATAACTCAAAAGTCAACTTATTGCTTGAAATTGCTTTGTAAATGAATTCAATAAATAAAATTTTTAAATCGATGCCCAACACGAATCTCAAGTTGATTTGAATTGAAGCTTGTGTTTGTTTTGTTGTTTAAATACTCAATATTCAATCTCTAATTTATACTAAATAATAGTTGAAAAATATTTCATAAAAATTTTGAACACACAGAATACATAAATTTAATTAATTAAATTAAAGGAGCTGTGCATCTAAAAAGATTTTCAATTTCTTTTTAAGTTTTGTCAAAATTTTCAATTCTTATATCCAATAAAATAACAAAATTTCAATTCCAATAAATTTAAATAAGTAAGATATAGGATAATTAATTACATTTAATGTTCAAAACTTTTTTATAAATTTACTATTATTGTTTATTTTTTCAACGCCAGCATTACTTTTTTTGAACGATAATTTTTCAATGCAGCTCTCTAAAATGAAGAGAAATTTATAAGTTCTGAACGAAAAGTAATGACATTTTATCGAGGCCGAGGGACCTCCGTCAAGCTCTATCGAGATCTACGCAAAAAAGGTAAAGATCCACCACATCATTAGCGACCTTTCATCATCAACTTCTGACATAATGATCTAATGTAAATAATGAAGTCAATAAATTATCAAAACATTTTCCTGCTAATGAAACCGGCATAGGTAAAGGATCTGTAATCACTATTTTAAGCATTTTATTGACCGCTAACTTCGAGTTTTGTCAAAACTATAAGGCGCCTACTTTCGCTAATAATTTATAAATGCATCACATCGGATTGGGAGTGCTTTGAAGAGCAAATACCATAGATATAAAGAATGAAAGTTCTATCTTTAAGAGCAAAATTATCAGTATGGATATTGACTTGAAAGAGGCGAAAAGAATCAGCAAATGTATTTTATTAGCTTAACTGAGAGAGACACTGAATTTAAGAATGTTTTACCATTAGACATATTAAAACATTTGTTTTAGCATTCTGCGCGATAAATGCTATGAGCATGGGCTTTATTTCAGGTAACTCAATATGGGCTGTGTAGCCTCTCGAATGCTCGAACTTATCCAAGTTGGGGAAGTTGTCGTACCCCGAAGAGTGCATTTGATCAGCGATAATTATGTGTTAAATGAGTCATTATAAATAGTGCAAAGAGTCATCTAGAGCTTTGTTATATTTTTTAATTATTTTCATATGTTCAGCAGGCCAAGACGATTCATGATGAAAAGGCAAATACTTAGACTGCTATTACGTTCTAATACCATATATATACATGTGTTGTTAAGGTACTAAATTTGATTGTACAGGTTCTACACTTAATAATAAAAAAATACTCAAAAAAAAAAAAAAAAATTTAAACTTTGACTGAAATGTATTTATCGAAAATAGTATCACTCTGATTTAGTAAATAAAGATAAATATACTTCATCTACTGGCACTATAAAATATGAAATATGAATTGAGAAATTCTCGCAAAGATATATGCTTGATAAGGTTTATCTTATTCCGCCCATGCCATGGCATGCTCCATACTACAAATTTCAATTATGTAGCTCTTGAAGTACGCGAGACTCTACGTTCTTATACACAGAGATGGGCAAATGGATATGGCTACATTGACTTAGCTGTACCTGTCTATATATAGCTCAATTGAACTTCATTATGAAGCACTTAATTTTAATTGCTGTTTCAGTTCTTTACGATCATCACACACTTGAACAAGATCTTTTAGCCTTCTTCAAAGTTAAGAAAACTAAATAACAAAAGTGCTAGAGGTAAGAGTGTGCGACTAGCAGA